CGGTACCGATGATCGACTCAGCCCCTGAGGAGTTTGCCGATACGCTGATCAGCTTCCTCCCGCCTGCTGTCGTCGTTCTTGCAAGTGACTCTGCCAGTGCTGTTGATGGGAAATCAGACCCGCCAACTGCGACTGTGGAGGCTGCCAAGGCATCCCTCTCGCTCAACGACAAGCGAACGCTGTTGAAGAAGGTGCTGCGAAGTCCTCAGTTCAACCAGGCTCTGGCAAGCCTCACCATGGCTATTCGCGATGGTGGTTTGCCCAGCATTGCTGATGCTCTTGGTGTCAAGGTGCAGGATGGTGGATATCTACGGGGTAGTGGCATGCCTTTAGGCGGTGGTCAGGCTGTCGAGGCATTCGTGAATGGTGTGAAGAAGACTGTTGAGGAGGAGAAGAAATGAATTGGATGAGTCTACCTAACAGGTAGTACGTATGTTCCTGAAGCATCTATCATGGCGTTGTCTGACGTTACTCTGATAAAGGTGGATGCTTATACAGTCGCTGGCGTTTACGGTTGAAGGCTGGGTCTTATTTCCCTCCCAGGTATTCTAGAAACATGAACAGACTCCTTCATTAATACTTGGTGTCTTTAAGCTTGGATGCCAAATAAATAAATAAAGCATGCACTTCAACATTGTCAGATAAATCATACTGTTCGCGGTTGTAGGTACCAAGTTCTTAGTGGGGCTTTGAACTGTTGCCCAGACGCCCGGCCACGAGTCAAGACCGAGTTAGAGACGCATATTGACGTACAGCGGCGCGCCCCAGAGTGTTCTCAGCTATCATAACTTAGCTCGTTAACACCCAAAATTTGTGCCTCGACCTTGATTTTCCAGTCGCATTACCAAAACATCTTGTCTTTTGTTTCGTCAAAGATCTGATATTTTTCGCGATGGATCTACCGTTCCCTACAGACCCTCGCGAATTCGACAGCGATGATCGCATATCGTTTTCTAAGCTCGACAAGAAGTTCATCGCGGTTCATGACGATGGCAACGAGTACGAATTTGACGCCGATTCTAAGCGATGGATTCTTGCGGACGAGGAGCCATTGGAACCTCCAGTAACCGATGCGTACGACGATTTCGCTGAGTTTGCTTCCAACGAAGCTGCAGAGGACGGGTCAAGGAAGCGCAAAAATGGATCGGGTCAGGACTCTGAGGTGTGTTCACATCACCACTTCATTCTGGCAGTCTTATTGCGCGTGGGTCGATGAACCATTAACTAACTTTCTGAGTAGACTCCCGAACCATCCAAACCTTCACGGCCAAACAAGAAGCAAAAAGCACCTCCACAACCCAGGCAAAACACAGCTGTCTATGTAACTGGTTTACCTCCCGACACAACTGTCGAGGAAGTCCACGATCTCTTCTCACGAAAGGGCGGAGTCATTGCGGAAGAAATCGATAGCGGTGCACCGCGAATCAAGCTTTACAACGATGCCGATGGAAACTTCAAGGGCGATGCTCTGATTGTCTTCTTCAAGCCCCAAAGTGTCGAGATGGCCATCATGCTTCTCGATGACACAGACTTCAGAGTCACTGCGAGCGGCACACGCGAGGGACGGATAAAAGTACAAGCTGCTGATTCGAGTTACAAAAAGGTTAAATACGACCAAGAAGCTGGTGCTGGCGGGGAGAAGAGCAACGGCGTAGCTGAGCGTAAGCCACAGAACAACCGCGACAGGCAAAAGATTATCAAGAAAACTCAGAAATTGGATGCAAAGCTGGCTGACTGGGATGATGATCTGCCGTACCCGGGACAGCCGGAGGCAGCGACCAAGTGGGACAAGCTTGTGATTCTTCGGCACATGTTCACGTTGGAAGAGCTCGAGGAGGACCCTGCTGCTCTGCTGGAAATCAAAGAGGATATCCGAGAAGAATGCGCCAAGCTGGGGACAGTGACGAACGTCGTGCTGTTTGACCAAGAGCCTGAGGGCATTGTCTCGGTCAAGTTTAAAGATGCAGAATCAGCCCGCGCATGCATCAATCTCATGCATGGGAGACGATTTGATGGTCGAACGGTGGAGGCTTTCTTGGCAACAGGAAAAGAAAAATTCAATAAATCAAAGGATGAGGAGAATCATGGGGACTCGGACTAGAAGCGTCCAGTTCCAACACACGTTTGGAAGACATATCTGATTAGAATGTAAGATACCCATAACTCAAGTTTAGACACAAAAACAGCCCTATGTAATACTTTCAGAACTCAAAACAAGTCCAGGTTCCCTTTCGTACACCTAACTCGGTTTACTTTTACATGGATTTAGGACTGATGCCCATTTCAAATTCTTCGGCGACTGTGTACCATATAGCAGCCTCGATAATGTTGCAGATCACCTGTAACTCTTCGTCATCTGGTTTGAGATTATTGTCAGTCATTTCTTCACTTTTTGGATATATTCCGATTGCCTGAAAGCAAGTCTCACCTCGTGGGGCGTAAACCAATACAAAATCTGGGGAGACTGGGCTCTTGATGAACCGGCCTGTCCAAGCCAGTGGATGTCTTTGGCCCCAGCCTTTTTCTAGCACCTCTCTGATATCATCAGGGTGCAGACACATGTGCATAGAGTGATCTGAATCATGAATGTGGCAGATCTCACCCTGACAGCTTGTTTGTACAGGATGTCTAGCGAACAATGCTAAGCCATGCTTCTCAACGCACGACCTCTCAGTGCCGAACTTCTTTGGGTTATGACTTGCCAGCTTTGCCATGGACCATCGGACAGATCGATAGCATTCGGGAGATCCATGCTGGTCGAGTTGTCGTTGAGGAGCGATTCCAGCAACAGTAGGGCGTGGACCTGCGCGGTATGGGAGTCGTTGGCGGCGGAGGATGCCTGACGTTGGGAGGCGCAGAGGATCAGGTTCTGGTGCATCGTATGGGTTTCTGAGAGCCCAAATGCGAAACCATGATATACGAAGGTAGCCAGCAAAGGTTGAAGGTGTACCACCAGGGCCTAAGTTGAGGAAGTTCACATAATCGTTATGAATCAGTAAGACAACGGGAACGAGAGCGACGAGAGCTTGGGCATGGTATGCGTCAAGAAAATGAATAAGTAAGACAAGAGTGACGGAAGATAAAAATATGTTTTTGCCATCGAGGGTTACCGAGATGGGTTGTTGGCGAAGAGCATGTGGAATCTTGAGTGACTCGAACTCCGTCTCACCCTGAAGATGGAGGGGAGGAGAAGCCAGCGTCTCTGTGGAAGTGATTGCAACGGATGACATTTTCAGAAAAATGTTGATTTATATTGTTTATGAACAATATGAGATGGGCTTCCAACCACAATATCGCCCGCAGTGTGGTTGGTAGGATATGTGGGGAGCTTGAGGAGGCCGTGTAAGTGTGATGTGATATTGATGTGAGAGCCAGAGGAGGTTCTCTCAACTTTATACAAGCATTGACAATGATCAAGCTTGCAACTTAATCTGGGGTAAGATAAGCCAAGTTCAGCTGATCCTCGTATCATATGCGGAGCTCACTACAGTAGAATCTCGCAAACAGAGGAGGGAAGAAGGGAAACCAAGGATTGGAGACGGTGAAAGGGGACGACAGGAGGGGATCGTCATATGATGGCCCTCCAGGATCATAAGCTAGGAAATGGTCGAGAAGCCATGGACCAACCAATTTACGCCCATATGCAATTGGTACTTTTATTGCAGTTGCCTCCTCTCCTTTGTAATTCTCGTCGACGAGTTACACCGTTTGTGAAGTTTAATGTGAGAACAGCATATGCTAGACTGACAATGAGTCCCATTTTAGGTATATCACGTCGAGGCACTATCCATTGAATAATTATTCTGCACAAAAACAGTACTACAAAGTCACGAGGCACAAAACAAACCTTGAAAGCACAGGCTCTGTATGGCTGAGACACTGGAGGCTACCTACTAGCGAATTGATATGCTGCAGCCTCCTGCGGGGCATGACGTTCAATTGAAAGCTTGAGAATCCGATCAACAGTCTTACTTTGGTGCCGTCTTACCTTTGTAAAACTTTCCTTCCTGGGATCCAATGCGCCGCTCAGCCATGACATAGTTTCACTCGGATCTTCCACCCAGCAAATTAGTCTCGAGTATGCAACCGTGCTACGGGGTACCAGAAAAAAGGCCTCCGAAGCCTTATGGTATAAAAATAAGTAGTCTAAGAACTACACTCTAAGGGGCATAAAGTAACCTACTAGTTTCGTCTCTTATGTTCCCAGCGGTCAATTTTTCTGATACCCTGAGGCCATGTAAGCCAAGTTTGCCAAGACTACCCTGGACAAGACGATAAGATGGTGGTCAGCGGAATATCTAGGCGCTATCTAAACAACGACATACCTGGATTCATACTCAGTAGTATGAACCCTCAACGAAGATCTGTTGCGGTTTATCGTGAATTCCTTGTTTTTTCGGACCCTTTCAATGATTTCTTGGTTTATCGTTCGACGAAGGCGAATTGTTTGGACTGACTCGTTAATTGTTGAGTTTCCAGTCGGCTAACCATGCGTTGACCTCGACACAGCTTAGTAAAGTCAGTCAAAAGAAGACGAATTGAAATCGAAGAGCCCGCAGAACACTGAATTGCAGTTATAACTACTACTCATTGGTTGCTCCAAATTAAGGCCGTAATGCCATCGATAGCTGACGTTGTGTCCGTTGGTATCTGAGCCTAAGCTGGAGGTTGCTCAGCAACAAACGGATCCGTAACAAAACAAACCAACGAATGACGGAGCTCGAACCATGGGTCAACCACCAACTAAGAGCGGTCTAAACAGCTGCAATGCAACACCCTTCAACACTTTCTACTCCTCATGACAACTTTCTTATAGCAGTCTGATATCCCATTCAGTTTAATTGTTTCTTTTCGTTAAGCGTTATAAATTCCTTTTCAGCAATTAGGAGTACATATCACAAAAGAGAACCTGCCGTCCAGGTGAAAGGGTTGGTTCTGAAACTCCCAATTCTTCTCATGCCTACTAACATTACTATCACAGACATAAATCATATCCCATCATGGGGTTACTAACGAATCCTCTGCGACCACGCGAGCCAAAGCTCCCACTTTACCAAAAAGTTAACTCCCCAAACAAAGAACGATTTTCAGACGACGACTACTCCTCCGATGAGGACAGCGACTATGAAGATGAGCCATACTCACCCGAGAGCTCTTCAGCGGGCTCTTCAAGACATACATCAGGATCTGCAAACAGCGGACTCTTGATGCTCCCCAGTCACCAGAAGAAGCCCCTCCCCCTCAGAAGGAGAATTGCCAAAGTGTATCCCTACCGAATACCAAACAAGGTCACCCGCTACCTGTTCTGCACAGTGATCACCTTGATCATTGTTATGGTTCTGAGTCTGGTGCGCGCCAGCCAGGTCGAAAACTGGAAGGTTGCCAACGGCAAGGTTGGCAACAGACCACCACCACCACCACCTGCCTGGGAAAAGTTCCCTTTCCTGGAGAGATACTATGGCGGACTCAAGACCTTGGTTAACTTCGATGAGCTTAAGCCTGAGTGGCCTCATGTCAAGAACGAACCTGAGATGTTAGGTGAAGGCAACGACTGGAACAAGCAAAACGAGATCAAGAGCGGCAAGGACAGCGACAAGGATAAGGACAGCGACGAGACCGACAAGGCCGCTACCGAAGAGATTGAAGCCGAGGCTCAAGGTACCAAAGCTCCTAGGAAAGAAACCAGAGATGAATCCAAGTCCAAGGACGACTCTAGGGATACAAAGGAGGATAAGCCGAAAGACGATTCTCAAGCCACTAAGAGCAAGCATCCCAAGAGCAACGACTGGAGTGGCTACACCAACAAGACCAAGGAGACAGACATGGAGGAATGTTTCCTGGATGCTGACGGCACAGTCCGAGTCCCTGAGCTGCGATACTACAATGGCCGTCCGCAAGGTTTCCCTGAGCACGCCATCGGATCTTATGAGGCTTTGGACCTACCCGAGGATATTTGTTTCGACCGTTACGGCCGCTATGGTCCTTACGGATTCGGCTACTCTACACGCAATGGTGGCCTCAGCGTTGGCGAACATGGCCAGAAGGAGGGCTCAGATTCTGTCTGGGAGAACATACCCCGTGTTGATTATCGACAGATTGACTGGGCTGATGTTCAGCGACGCTGCTTCAAAACCAATCAGGCTCGCTTCAAAGGGTTGCCCGAGAAGATTCAGATTTCTCATGGATTCTTCGCTCATGAGCCCAAGCCAAAGGCTCTGCCTAGCTCTACCCTCAAACGCCGAAGCGTCGAAGAAGAGAAGCCCAAGACTGTAAAGGAGACTGCTACCTCCAAGGTCGAAACCGCCAAGACTGAGGCAGCACAACCCAAGCCGACTGGCTCTGAGGAGGCCAAATCCAACGTCTCCAAGGTCGACGAACTAAAGACAGCCGAGTCCAAGGTAAACACTTCAAAGGCTGCGGCGACCAAGGTTGCTGAGGTCTCCAAGTCTGAAACGCCAAAGCCTAAAGAAACCAGTACCAAGGAGTCTCAACCTGAGAAGCCCCATTCCGATGACGATGGTGAGTCTGAGAACGATGTGCCGGAAGTCCCCAAGACCGAGTCGCCTAAGGCATCTGGAGCCGGATTGTCACGAACAGCTGTCGTTGTGCGCTGCTGGGACGAGTACAACTGGCGCGAGGATGATATTGCCCACCTTCGATCTCTCATCACTGAGCTTGCCATCACCTCTGGCGGTCGTTATGATATCCATCTGCTGGTCCAGGTCAAGAATGAAGCCGCCCATCCTGTTTGGGCAGACGAAAGAATCTACCAAGAACGTATCGAAGAGTCCATTCCTGAAGAGTTCCGAGGCCTTGTGACCCTGTGGTCAGAGACTCAGATGCTTGCTCTCTACCAGGGCATCTACGACCACTTCTCTCGTGGCCCCGATCTACCTGTTCACGGTGTTTACCGCGGTCTTTCTATGGCAATGCAGTACTTCGCCCACAAGCACCCCGAGTACGACTACTTCTGGCAGTGGGAGATGGATGTGCGCTACACCGGTCACTACTACGATCTTTTCAGCAAGCTCGAGAACTGGTCTAAGGCTCAGCCCCGCAAGGGTCTTTGGGAGCGCAACTCCCGCTTCTATTTTCCCAGCATCCACGGCACCTGGGAGGATTTCTCGCAGATGTCTCGTGTTCAGAGTCAGATGGGTATTGTTGGTGCCGACAATGTGTGGAAGGGCGTTCCTGGTTTTGACGGCAAGACTCCTGACCAAGACACCAAGGGCCATCGTACTGTTTGGGGACCTCTTCGCCCCAAGGATGATGACGACTGGTTTGAGCCTGGCAATGATCCCGTTGCTCCCACCTCGTACGAGAAGGACCACTACCAGTGGGGTGTTGGCGAGGAAGCTGATTACATTGCTCTCAACCCCATGTTTAACCCTGAGGGTACAACCTGGGGACTAAAGGATGACATCACAGGCTTCAACCGATCAGAGGGCCTTCCTCCTCGCCGCGCCAACATCATCACCACTGCGCGCATGTCTCGCCGACTTTTGACAACCATGCACAAGATGACTGCCTTCAAGAAACAATTCGCTTTCCCTGAGATGTGGCCTGCTACCGTTGCTCTGCAGCACGGCTACAAGGCTGTTTCAGTCCCCCACCCCGTCTATGTTGACCGAACCTGGCCTCCGGCCTATATGGCTCAAATATTCAACAACGGTCGTGATGGTACAAGCGGTGGCTCTCGCACCAGTATCTTTGGCGACCGCGAGCACAATATGCATGGCCTCTCATGGTTTTACAACTCAGGCTTTGCGCCAAACATGTACCGCCGCTGGTTGGGCCTTCGAGTGAACAACGACGGTGGTGAGGAGTTTGAGGGTATTGAGGATAAGAGCAAGAATGGCAAGGGAGTCGGCAATATGCGTGGTGGTGAGGGCAGAATGTGTCTGCCTCCTATGTTGTTACACCCCGTCAAGGATGTGGAGTTGCCTGTTGAAGCCCCCGAAGCTGAAGCTGAAGAGGGCAAAGCTCCTCAGTCTGATCCTGGAGCCTAAACTTCCTTTTCCCCTTTCTGCATAGAAGACTCTGTGAGTCATTGTACGGCGTTTTAGGTTTTGTTTTCTGGGTATTTTCTAATGGGTTTACGTCCTGTCATGTATGCGATGAAATATGTCAACGGGATGATAATGACCTTTCAAGCTGCCAGGTACTGTAGTATATACGGCTACCTTTTGGGTATCTGGATTTAGACTGAGCAAAGTTGAATAATGAACATGCTCTTTCATGAACATATATCTGCCGTGGGTGTTTGCGCGACGTGATTTTGGATAGTAGATATTGTCCAAATCATAGTGACATTTGGCTCAACATAAAATGTTTATACATATTTTCTACCATGACATTTGCGCAGGTTCCCAACTGCTCTTTTGTGTGATCGTTTCATGCATCCCGAAACTCCCAGTTTTGCGCCGATGTGTTGTTCGCTGTTGTTCGCAATTGCGACATGTAAACAAACAGCATTTCCTGGGCAATTCTCCATACTGCCCCCTTTCTCGTATCATCGCATAACTTTGACTGGCCCCTTAGACCACACGCTTGACCTCGAAGAAGCGTCGCAGCCACCAGACCTGGAAGAGAGACTCGCCAATGACGACACCAATAACGAACATGTTCCACCACTTGACTCGGCTGTTTGTGCTCTCGGCGGTGTTTCGGTGGGTGCGCTCACGGATAACGATATACTCTTGCTCATCCTTGACTTGGGCAAGGAGATCGGACAATTTACGGACTAGGGTAAGATTTTCGTAAGTCTATTGAACAATTGCAAGCGACATAAGAGCATTTACCTTCACGGTCAAGGGGGTCGGAGGGCATCTCATGCTCGCTCACGTAGACAATTCCATGGACGTTGAAGGAGACCTCCTTGGTGTTGGCACCCCAAGCCTCGTTACCGAAGCAGTAAAGGTATTTGCCGTCGTGCTTGGCTGTGAATGAGTAGTCACCGTTGGAGATACTCTTCTCGTTTGTCTCGTATTGTCCAGTGGGGTTGGTGATCTGTCAAAGTTAGTATCCTGACCACTGCCCTGATTCTTCTCAGGACACATACCCAGAAGTCGATATCTAGGTTGCCTGCGCTACCGAATTCACGATCGCCAACCTGGAAGGTAACGGTCATGGTGTCATCCTTGTGGAGGGACTCGTGGAAGCATTCTCGACCGTGGGCGGGCAGGACGATGTTGTGAGCAGTGACGGCTGTGAAGACAGCAGCAGCCACGAGGGCCTTGGCCGCAGAGACGAAGTACATTATGGAGATGGGAGTCGAGGTCGGGTGTCGATTAATCGCTATAGCTTCAAAAAATGAACGTTGTGGTCGTTTCGCGATCCTACAGTGTTATCATGTCCCTGTAGGAGCTATACTGTCCACTAAAGTCAACCAAGGTATGGAGACGGATTCGAATCGCGACGAATTGACACCTTTCCACAGCTAATTGGAGGAACAGGGGGCCTATTGTTTGCTTGCTCGTGCGGCTCTCTTCCCGTCTGGGCAACCACGGTTTTGCCGAGCTCAAGAGATCAGTCAAGTTGAGTTCCTGCCAGCTTGCAGCTTCTATTCTTACCAAAATTCACAAGCCAATCCCGCAACTCCAAGCCCAAAAGGGGGAAAGTGGGTATGTTCTGGCGCGGTGGGTCCCTGTGGCTTAAGCCAGGGCATGCTAGGGATTAAGGTACTTTGGATTGTCGTTTATCTGTCCTCGCGAATACCTCATACCTACCTCAAAAAGGGATGAGGGAGCGGGACTTGGTTGCGCGGCGCTTTGATTTCCGTTCTCTGGTAATTACAGATGGAATTCATGGTGAATGATGACTGCTACTCACTAGCATGCTCTGATGGCTTTTATTCACTTACTCTCTCGTTACTCACTAAAAACCTTCCTAAAACCGTATTCAATAAAGCGTCTTTATTCAGAACCTCTCTTATCAAGTTCCCACATTTAAAGAGAATAAAGTACCCGAGATCAAAGAGGTCACTGACTGCACTGGCCATGTGGCGGTGCAATTGCGTTGTCTGCCCCTCAGCACTCCCTGAAGCGCAATCGAAACAGGCCCTGGCTCCAGTGTTCCCCCCGCTGCAACTAACCAGTAAACAGTCCAGTAACACTGCTGCTCACTCACCAGCCTCAGCCCCCCAGCCCGAGACCAGGAAAAAATAGGACATTGTCCCTTCACCCCTCTCTCCCTAAAGTGACGGGATCCATTCTCACACCGACAAGTCAAACCACCCGACAGCGCCCACCCCCAATCCAATCCATCCATATTATCCATCCATCCATCGTCGCTCGTCGTTTTTTCTGCACCACCACTCCAAGGACCGCCCCACGATCCAGTAAGTTCAGCGTCTTTCTGTCTATTGCTTGAGTATCTTCAGATTCCGCTTCTTGTTGCTTGCCTATTCCCGGTCCTCGTCTCGATGGCTTCAACGAGCTACCGTCCGTCTCACGCTGTCGCCGCCCGATGATCCAGATTCGCCGCCATGCTATTACCCCGTTGATCCGCCTCGTGACGGCCTAAACCACCATGTCGACATACAGCATGGCACAGCTTATCTCAATGGATTTGGCGGCAGCCTGGAACGAGAACACTTAAAAAGCTCAGAGCCTCAGGGACTTGACTTGGATGATGGTGACGGTGGAGAGGCGTTGATGGATGAGCTCTTGATCGCTGCCTTGTTCATCAACTTATGTGTCCTTTCGCGACACTCCCATAAAGCCAACCAGCCTCCACCATCGCCAGTCATTCAGCGTCCTGTTCTGTTCCTCCCTTGGCCAGAAGTCTCCTGCATTCTGTCTTAGACTTTTGTCTCTTCCCTCTCCAACTCAAAACTGTCTCCTTTATTTTTACTTTACCCCTCGCACGCAACAAAGTCCCTCGCCACGTCTTCTTATTTCAACATTTATCCCCCAGCATCGCTAACCTTGCGCCTTCGCCTCTAGAACCCTTTACTCTATCCCTACAAACACAGGCTTCGACGCCGTAAACCGCAAACATGGGTCTCGCCTTTTCGAAGCTTTTCGACAGACTGTGGGGGAAGAAGGAGATGCGAATTCTGATGGTTGGTCTTGATGCCGCCGGTAAAACCACCATCCTTTACAAGCTCAAGCTTGGTGAGATCGTCACCACCATTCCCACCATCGGTATGATACGACCTGAATCCTTCAAACTAGCCACTGTTGCTAACCTTTTCTTAACTAGGCTTCAACGTCGAGACCGTCGAGTACAAGAACATTCAATTCACCGTGTGGGATGTCGGTGGTCAGGACAAGATCCGTCCTCTGTGGAGGCACTACTTCCAAAACACTCAGGGTATCATCTTCGTCGTCGACTCCAACGATCGCGACCGTATTGTTGAGGCCCGAGAGGAGCTCCAGCGCATGCTCAACGAGGACGAGCTCCGCGATGCCATTCTCCTTGTCTTCGCCAACAAGCAAGATTTGCCCGTACGTCACGACCCCGCCTTCACACTTCGCCTAACAACATTCCCCTCAACGTGTCATTTAACCGCGGTATCATGATGCTAACATTATTCCTTAACAAGAACGCCATGAACGCCGCCGAGATCACAGACAAGCTTGGCCTCCACAGCCTGCGACAACGCGCCTGGGTAAGTAACGAACCATCGATATCTGGGTTCCAGAAATCTGCATATCCATCCGTTTGGTCACATGCTAATCTCTCACCTTTTCTTCCAACAGTACATCCAGTCTACCTGTGCTACCTCAGGTGACGGTCTCTATGAGGGTCTCGAGTGGCTCGCCAACACCCTCCGAAAGGCGGGTCACCAGTAGAAAGATTGACGAGAAGCATCTCTTGAAGAAACCCGCCTTTTCCTCTTGCTCTGCCACATCCTCTCAAATGGCTCTTTGTGTCGACTCGAGGTTTCGGTTGTAATTTGCAAAGTTATCGGTCAACCAATCGAAAATGAATCCTTGAACCAAAGTCGCATCTATTCACGTTTTCTATTAAAGCAACCTGTTTCTACGCTTCCTCCGTCTCTCAATGGTGCTTCACTGTGAGCCTCTCGGTTAACGTTTGTTTGCCATCTGTAAGCGTCAGCTTGCCCTCCCGAGGACCACAGAACGTGCTTTCTTTTTTTTCTTCTTGGAGGAAAAGTCGGGTGATGATGGGTGGCGTCTTATAGGGAACCCCGGGGTATTTGTACAGTCGTCAAATCGGGTGTCGTTTGTTCTTTGAAAAACATGCATTCTTTGCAGATTTTACACGAATACTCTCGCAAACCGTGGCGCACTGGTACATCTATCATTTGCTGTTTTTTTCCATTTCCTTTCCATATCGCTTCAGGGAACATGACCATGATGATCAACTCGAGTAACGAGGAGTAGAAACGAGGCATGAATTCGGGGCCACTACGAGATTGGGTCGTTGTAGAGATTCTATCTGTTTTATTCCATCCTTATATCTATATCGTAGCCCAGCTTGTCATGATTTAGTGACATTTGTGTAATGTTGAGTTCAGGGGTTAGTTCTTGTCTTGAATCTCGGGTCTTGTGCTTGTACTTGTGCAGTCGATGCTGGCACCATAATTATGTCGTGACGTTAGCTATATATGATACCCTCTCCCAAGAACACCAGAAGACTTTGGGAGGGACAAAGTTAGTGAGTCGGATTATGCCGTCTTAGCAGACTCTTGTATTATTTATCCTTGCACAACTCATTGACATCAACATCCTGATTACGTCCCTTGGATATTGACTGTTGAAAATTGCCCATGGAGGTACGACTTGTAAAGTAGCAAGCAACATCTCAGCTGGTCTTAATCAATATATCCACATATTAAAACCGACTCGTTTTCCTCGCAAGGGTAACAGGTGCTACCATTCAACATAGGAATCAGACTACCAGTAGCTTGTCCTCTCGATTGCTCTTATTGAAGAGCTACTTGCAAAGTAGAACTACCCTTTAGAGTTTTGGCAAAGTCTTAAATGGTAAACCTATCAACTAACGTGAAAATAATGAGCACATCCTATTTAGGTTTGAAAGCTGAGTGGGTATTTATTAAATCAAGGTTATGGACATTCTATGGTGATGCTATTTATACAAAGAATTTTACAATAATTAGACATGAAACACATAAACTCATTAGAAACGAACCCGAACAATTCTTGGTTGGGGCAGTTTAGTCCTCCTTGGACTTGACAGCAATGTCCAAGCCTTCCTTATCCTCGCGAACCTTGATCTCGGCCGTCTCTCCCATCTTCAGCTGGCCCTTGATGATCTTGTCTGCAAGTCCGTTGCCGATCTCGTTGGTGATGAGTCGATTCAGGGGACGGGCACCGAATTTGGGATCGTAACCACGCTCCGCAAGCCAGTCTCTAACGTCACCGGGAACATCGAGCACGATGCGGCGGTCGTCGAGGCGCTGTTGAAGTTCTTTGAGGCGTATATCGACGATATCGCGAAGAGCGCTCCGGGCGAGGCGCTTGAAGACAATGAAGGAGTCGATTCGGTTGAGGAATTCAGGTGGGTAAGCTGAGGCGACAACATCCATGACGGCCTTACGGACGGATGGATCAATCTCGCCGTCGGCTGTTTCGCTGTAAGGGTGGAGATGGTTCTGACCAACAAGGATGTCGGCACCTAAGTTGGATGTCAGAACAATGATGGTGTTTTTGAAGTCGACCTTGTGGCCTTGGGCATCTGTGAGGTAGCCCTCGTCAAGGACTTGAAGGAGTAGAGCAGAGATGTCGCGATGTGCCTTCTCGAACTCATCAAAGAGGAGGACAGCATAGGGCTTGCGGCGGACAGCCTCAGTCAGTTGGCCAGCGTCTTCGTAGCCAACGTAACCAGAAGGTGCGCCAATGAGTCGAGAGATGGTATGCTTCTCCTGGAATTCGGACATGTCGAAGCGAACAACTGCAGACTCTGTTGAAAACAAGAACCCTGCGAGCTTCTTACAAAGCTCAGTTTTACCCACACCGGTAGGACCTAGGAAGAAGAAGGAAGCCAACGGTTTGTTCTCGCCGCTCAAACCAGCTCGCTGGAGACGAACTGCGTCTGACACAGCCTTGATGGCTTCATCTTGTCCCTTGACTGCCTGGCTGAGTGAGTCCTCCATGTGGACCAGCTTCTCAATGTGGCCTGAAGTGAGCTTTGACACGGGGATGCCAGTGATACGGGAGACGACATTGGCGATATCGTCTGGGCTGACCGAATCGTGGATAAGAGTGTCGCTGGAGGTTGACTCTTTGGCCTCTCCCTCCTTGGGCAACTTCTGCTCAAGGTCGGGGATTACACCAAATCTGAGTTCAGAGGCGCGTCCAAAGTTTCCTTCTCGTTGGGCCTGCTCAAGCTCAAACTTGGCCTTGTCGAGGTTCTCCTGGACCTTCTTAACCGATTCAATCTCAGCACGTTCCTTCTCCCAGCGCGCGTTGAGCCCAGAAATTTCCTCGTTCAATTTCTTGAGATCGTTTTCCAGCTTCTCTCGGCGCTCCTTACTTGCCACATCAGACTCCTTCCTCAAACTCTCGAGCTCAATCTGAATCGTCATGATCTTGTGGTCAAGGCGCATGATGTCTTCAGGCTTGGACTCGTGCTGCAGCTTGAGATGACTGGCTGCCTCGTCCATGAGGTCAATGGCTTTGTCTGGTAAGAATCGATCGGTGATGTAGCGGTTAGATAGAGTTGCGGCAGCTACCAGTGCACCGTCTGTAATACGGACACCGTGATGGACCTCATATTTATCTTTGATTCCTCGAAGAATGCTTATCGTATCCTCCACGGATGGTTCGCTGACAATGATAGGTTGGAATCGTCGTGCCAGGGCAACATCCTTTTCAATCTGGCGATACTCGTTGAGGGTTGTTGCACCACAGCACTGAAGTTCACCACGAGCTAAAGCAGGCTTCAAGAGGTTCGAGGCATCGATGGAACCTTCAGCCTTTCCGAGGCCAAGGAGGGTGTGTAACTCATCGATGAATAGAATAACTTCTCCCTCGGCCTGCTCCACCTCTGTCAAGACCTTCTTCAGTCTCTCTTCGAAATCTCCTCTAAACTTGGCACCGGCGATTAGGGAGCCGAGATCAAGACTGATGACCCTCTTGTTCTTGACACTTTCGGGGACGTCGCCACGAACAATACGAAGGGCAAGGCCCTCAAGAATTGCTGTCTTTCCAGTTCCTGCATTACCGATGAGAACTGGGTTATTCTTGGTACGTCTCGACAAAATTTGGATCGTTCGCTGAATCTCGGCATCTCTGCCAATAACTGGATCCAGCTTGCCGTCTTTGGCTCGAGCAGTCAGGTCGACACCAAATTGTTCCAGAGCAGGTTTCTCCTCATCACCACCCATATTCATGCGGTGAGTACCGCCTGGAGGATGAGGTCGGCCATTGGCATATGTCCTGACTGCAATGCTTGGTATTAAGCGAAGGGATGTTGGTCTTAAAGGTTGTGTTGCGATTACTCGTGTAAGTGGCCGGACTGATCGAGCCCGGGCACTAGCAGCCATGCGCTGCGTTGATGTGATTAGTTGTCTTCGCGCCTGCATGTTGGGCACTTGTGAATAGCAAGACAATAAACTTGGAAGAGTTCAATTGAAAAGGAGAAAAGAGAAGCAAAATCAAAGATTTTATCAACAGGCAGAAGATCTCCAATTATCTACACGTTCGAGACCCAGGCTACACGCTTCATGACGCCTGGGGCATTTTCTCGTAGCTTCCAGGTCCGTCATCGGGAACATGAGACTAAGAGCTGATAAGATAGAAAAACAGAACTAAACCACAGTCGGAGGCATCATGTGATATTATCGGCTCTCAGGGCTTGTTGATCGAGCGGGAAAGTGGAGAATGAGAACAAATTTTGATTGGACTGTCGGATCGGCAGAAGGGTTCACATTTTCCCACAAACTCTAGCGGCTTCCACAAAGAATTCTAACATTTCGGGCGCACCTCATCAACACCAAGTGTCTTCCTTTCCTTCACCACCTAACCCCAAGTCAACCAGCCAGGAGAGTCAACATGTCGGCGCCCACGAGCAAGACCTTCGGAAAGTCGACCCGAGAGGTCCCTGCCTCTTCGGAGAAGGCTAAGAAGTGGTACCCCGCTGATGATGATGCCGAGAACAAGAAGGTAAGCTGGTGATGATTGTGATGCGTTTGCAGGCAGTTGCATAAGTGTTCTGGACATTGCGGTTCGGTCGGGAATATGGAACACGGATTGAGAGATATCGAGTTTTGGTCGGTCCACGACAGGCAGTTCGACGCCTAAAGCGCAAGGAGGAAAGCAGCGTGTCTGGCAGTACACTATCACTCTTTTTCTGTAAAAAAGATAAGAGCAGTGGCTTAGGCAGTATCGCCCCAGAAGAAGAAAGCAGCATCATGGGACGACCAAAGCCTTCGAAAAATTCAAGAGGCTTCAAGACGAAACGCACAAACCAGCACACAGAATTGCGACAAATCGATTGACGACCACACATATGAACACACACAAACACACATATATATAGCAACTGCCTGCAGTATTGTTCAGCATTACCAAGAATCAGTTCGCTAACAAGTGGAAAATTATAGGTTCGCAAGGCTGTCCGATCTTGGACTCCTCGCAAGTCTCTCCAGCCCGGTACCGTCCTCATCCTCCTCGCTGGCCGCTTCCGTGGCAAGCGTGTCATCCTCCTGAAGTCCCTCGACCAGGGCGTCCTCTTGGTCACCGGCCCCTTCAAGATCAACGGTGTCCCTCTGCGACGAGTCAACTCCCGATACGTCATCGCCACCTCTTACAAGGTCGACATCTCTGGCCTCGACGAGAGCAAGATTGAGGAGATCTCTCAGCCCAAGTACTTCACCGCCGAGAAGGCCAAGGAGAAGGCTGGTGAGGAGGCTTTCTTCAAGCAGGGAGAGAAGCCCCAGGTACGACACAACAACCCTTGTGCAAGACGTGTGGATAGGGACCAGATTACTGACTTTCGATTACAGAAGAAGGAGGTCAACAGCAGCCGCGCCGCCGACCAGAAGGCCATCGACAAGGCTCTGATTGCCAACATCAAGAAGGTCGACATGCTTGCCTCTTACCTCTCCAGCTCTTTCAGCTTGAGGAAGGGAGACAAGCCCCACGAGATGGCCTGGTAAATGTGCAATCTTGTGTGCCGGGGTGATGGGAGTACCGGGGTTGCGATACAAAGGGTTGTAGAACGGCAAGGGTCTCCGAAATGGGCTGGTTTGGCCAATTGCATTTGAAAGTCGACGGGCATCGGTCACATTTTGGCGTCTGTAATCAGGTTTTACAGTCAAAAACAAACGAGCATACAAAATTCTAGAGGCTTCCGGTGAGAGGCCGATGATGATGAACTTCACTCGGATGTCCCATCTCCCTGGGTGAAAAGAAAAGCAACTGGTGTGAGCGATCATGGTCTTTCCCGGTCTGAACTCGTCAAAAATGGACATTGTTTTACGAATCATAAAAAAAGTTTCAATAATTGTGCGTGGATTGTACCGTTGACATGTTAACTTGGGTCTTGATAATGGCATCAATCATCTTATCTATTTTTATCTGCTTCTTCTAATGTACAGCTTACATGTCCAAAACGGTCATCGTCTTTGTGATGCTTGTTGACTTTACAGGCCGCGATCCACCCAACTCTGGACCATGCCAGTCAACGAGGCTTCGTAGTGCTTGATGGAAACTTTTCCAGATGACTCATCCAACGATGTATTGGCCTGGACAAAGACCTTACGAGGCTGCTTGTTCTTCAGAACAATGTCGCGAATCTTCTTGCCCCAGAAGTCGGGGTCAACAGTTGTCATGTGGACGTAGAAATCGGTACCAGTCTTGACATCAGCAGTCGACTTGTAGATGTGAAGCTTCTGGAGATATTTGGCAACGGCTGTACACTTGTTAGCTTGTTGTTCACATATTCAGGGGCGAGAGTTCTTACCATCTCGACCAGCCGTGAGAATCTTGGAGCGATCAAGCTTGATAGTCAAGTCAGAAAGGTCGTCCTGCTTGTAGTCAAGCTTGCAGAAATCGTCCTCAGCCTCGAGGAAGCACTTGAGAATAGAGAAGCGGGCCTGGCTGTGAGCCTGTCCCCATTTTTGGCTCTTGGGGTCCCACATCTCAAGTGAAGCCAGTCCTGCCCGGGCCATGGACAAATAGGAGGCGAACAAGACGTCGCCAGCCTCACCGTTGATGTCTTCAGAACCATCACCAAAGCCAAAGATCTTGAGGACGGGGAATTCGCAGCTCAGGTGCATGGCAACAAGTTCGGCACGGCATTCCTCGTACGAGGCAGCTATGCTACCGAACACCGAGCCCCATGTCTGACCGGGCTTGTACCAAGTTGTGATGGGCTTGCTGTCAACAGGGCTGACAGGGGGGTTCTCCTTGTCAAAGTTGAAGGTACCTGGTGATGTCTCCTGGAGAAGCTTACCGCAGCCGTGACCTATTGCGCATGAGTGACGATGATTAAATGGCATGTTGGAATCTGTTACATACCGGTAAGCTCGTGAAGACCGACCTGGACCTCAAAAGAAGCATCGCGCTGCTTCTTGTACACCTCAAGATCCTCATCACGGATGAAAGGTATCTTCTCATCAGGCGCCTTGGCACTCAGAACATTCCCAAGTGACACGTTCTTGAAACCCTCGGTTTGACGGATATCATCGTAGTTGGGGCTGCAAGTCGTTAGCAATCGACATCTCCCTAATATATGATTGCAAAACCTACATGTTGATACCAGCAGGAATACCGGAGCCTTCATTCAATGTCAGCATCGCCAGTCATATAATAAGGTAGCGGTCGTTACCACTTACCAGCAAAGGTCATAACCTCAAGAGAGGTAAAGTCAGGAGATAAGAACTTGTCCTTCTCAAACTCAGAGCCCCAAGGCAAAAGGGGGATAAGCTTGGGTGCCTTTTCCACAAGCTCACCAAAAGCACGAGTTCGCTCAACTAACGGCTGGTTAGTAAGACACCGGGTAGATAGTGCGAATGATTCTTACGGTTGACCACTACATAACTGTTAGCGAATTCGTACACAGCGGTATATTCTACTGGTCAACTTACTGGAGGCAAAACCTTCCCACTCTCCTCGGATACCAGCAGGGTCTCGGTAAGTCTCAATGAAACCAATGTTGGACTCAATCATAGGACCCTTGTCCTTGATCCAGTATCTTTGGCTGTCCTTGAAATCCTCCAGAGAACCGGACTCGAAAGACTTGCTGTAAGCCTCGTGCATCTTCTTCTGGGTGTCGTTCTCGGCGTTCTCGGCGGCGCCATTGATGAAGGCAGTGATGTTCTTCATCTCCTCTGCGTAATCGCCGTAGACTAACTTGATAGTCTTGCCCTTGAGAGATCCGTCTTCCACAGTGAACTCGGTCTGCTTGCCAATATCACCTCCCTTGCTAGGGATTTCTTTGACAGCCGAGGCGATCAAAATCTCAAAGTTGCCGTCAGAGGTCTTTCGAAGACGGTTGTTTTCGGGGAGAAGACCCTTGGACTCCATCCAGTCAGAGACGGCCTTGATATCATCCTTGGTGATGTGGGAAGAATCAGGATAATAAGTAGTCATGTGGCCATCATCTGGGTAGCCCAGGTGCATCATGGCAGGGTTGTCGGAGCTGAAGATGCCACCCTTTGTGGCCTCGTAAAACTTGTTGGCTTCGGGAGAAGTGGCAGCCAGGGCAGCAACAGTCTTCTCGGAGCAGCGAGGAATAAACTTGGAGTCACCAAAGCTCTTGTAGTTGCCATTGTTGCCGAGGAACATGGCGGCATACTCGAGGAAGCGGGTGGCCTCTTCTTCGTCAACGCCGGCCTTCTTGGCCAGTGCATTCCAATCGCCATTGGCAGACTTGTGCAGAGACAGGATCAAGTCAAAGATAGGCTCGGACTCTGGGGAGATCTGTCGAAGGACAATCCTGGTGCCGGCGAAAGCAGCTCTATGATGATGTGTTAGCCGCACGACCCCTCTCTCTCTCTCTCTCTCTCTCATAAGCAAGCATGAGTTGCCCCTCATTTCAGGTTGGCCAAGCTCAACGACGACTTATACAAGGCCGTAGCACAAAAACAAAACTTACTTGCTGATAAAGTGAGCATAACGTCTCTGCTTATCGTTCAAAACCTCAAAGTGCTTCTCAATCTCGAGCCTGACGACCGAGGGAGGCTTGTCGGCGAGGTAGTGGACCAGCTCGTTCGAGTTCATGGCGACAATGGAAGTGGAAAATCTATGAAGGCTCTGGCGGTTGAAAGACTTTGTGAAGTGAGGAATTGGCCGTCGTGTTAACGGAGATTGTCTCAAAGCTGCTGTTCTCAGGGAAGGCAACCTTTGAAGAACAAGAGACGGTGAGATTGAGTTGAGAGGAGACATGCGTGGCTGCTGTTTGACGTTTTTGGGTCACGTCGGCCAATGGATCTTTGTTCTCTGGGGTCGAACGCAGCTTCCTAAACGTGTTAAGGCAACAAACAGAAGGTGCAGAGCTTCTTTCCTATAGCGGTTAGTGGGGTGTGCATAGATCTCCATCATGACACCATGAGTGAGGGGTTCAATTTAAATTGGGGTTACTGCCTGCCTGCCTGCCTGCCTACTACCTGTTATTATTCATATATTGGGATCAGGTCTCCATAAGATACTGTCTTGGCCATGGGCCTCAATCTTGTGCATGCGCAGTTCTATAATGATTGCTGCTCTTGTATGGAATCTTTGGCTGTACTGCTCAAGTCACATGGTGTCAAATGGTGAATGAAACACACATGGCATCTTTCACCCACTGTCTTGTTGGCCGAGATGCTGACAAAATCATGAGGAGGAATTGCCCAGTCGCTATTGTTTCTGAACTGACTTTGATTTATCTTCTTGAGATCATATCTATCATCTCGTCAAAATGATTGTGATGTATACAAACTCAAATTCTCTACAGCTGAGATAAATACATGGAACTCATACCCTATAGATTAGTTCCTTGATTCAAGTTGCTGTACAGTATCAATAATGTTAACCACAAGCCAGCGCATCTAATATGATCAACGAAAACTTCCATCATGGGTCATTCCTGTAACTAAGTCAACCGGAATGCTATAGAAGTGAGGTGTTGGATCAAAATGAAGCGAGCCGAACCGAAAAAACAAACCGGTTTACACACTTTTCTCGTTTGTACTATCCAGGGGTCTAATAAGTAGCCATGTCACGTATCAAACTGTGAAGGTAATGAAGGCAACATTAAAATATGCAGCTGCTTCAAAGCGGTGTGGCGTTGTAGGATTGTACATACATGCTGCCCAGCCAAGCATTGGAGGAAGCAAACAGTATCGGTAGAGTAACCGGTGTTGCCAACCGAGCCAGTCCTTCGGAATCTAATCTAGCAACCCGACAGGGCGGAACGCCCGGGGGAAAGGTTGGGGTGACATGGATCGAGTTCCAAGACTCCCAAGTCAAATCAAATCAAGTACGTTTGTTCCGGGGGAAAGTCTTGGTTGCCCCGACTTTGCATATTTAGTCTGTGTGGTGTAGTGTTGGGTGTTTGCGTTGAAAACGGCAACGTGATAATTACTGACGAGAAAGTATACATTTGATGTGTGATCAATTATTTGATCATTTTGGGGTGTAATAGGCATCTCAGCTACATCTACTTTACAGGAGCAGTAATAGTCTCTGCCCTTGCAGCAGATGCTGTCAATTCTGTCTCAGGACTAACATCTCCCTATGCAAATCACTATAGTACTGGTCGTATATTGACTTCTTTCTATTTCTTATCGGAAATGAAGTCCTGAGTTGAATTTTCTGTTGGTGCTCTGTGCTTAAAAGTCCAAGTCCACCTGACCTCTCTGCCTCCACGCCTCTATGTACTCCACACTCCCTCTCTACACTAACACTGCATTTATCTCCTGGTGGCTTTCTCCCGTTGTGTTGTGCCTTGACTAGGCCCAGACCCGACTTTTGCAATTCCAGATCGGGCTTGCAATATTGTACCTGGCTAGAATATAGAGGAATTTTATATCCAGGTTGCTGGGGAAGTTCAAGTGCTGGGAGCTGGTAGCAAGCGACATTCACTCGGCTTTACTCTCAGTTGGTCCAAGTTCCTGTCTGCAACAATTGCAGGAACATTCAACTGGGGCCCCCTTTCCAAAGCGAGACGAGGATTGACGAGATATTGATTAGAGAAAGTATCAGTGTACTAATAACTGTGCTGGTCATAGCGGATAGTATATTTAGAATAGACCCATATTGGAATATTCGAAGAAGAAAAGTCGTATCTGTCGTACACGGATCACAATGTTTGAGTATCATTGTAGGACAACTTCCCACCTGTACGGTAGAGTCTGACCAGCGCCTCGGTATCGTATGTAGTTGGAGGAGCTGCATTATCAATCATTAAGCAGCTCAACGTTATCTTTGGTCCGATTCGTCAAACTCTTAAGATAAGATCTCGGATTTGAGCGCAGGTAAGTAGTCTTTAGCCGTAGGCCCAGATCATTCAGACCGGATAAGTGCTGACCAGGTTTTGCAGATGTAGACTTTTACCGACTCGAAATTAATTATCCAAGATAAGTTGAGTTCCTCTTTGAGAGCATTACAGATAGCACTGAATTAATACTGGTGAGAATACTGTTGTACGGTTCGACGGCTAGATATTCCATCAAGTCTTAGCGGAAACTCCGCGTAAGGATGGGTTTCTCTAAAAAGAACATGATACTGTAGATCCGCCCCAGGGGATCATGATTTGATGCATTATTAGCATAATTTCCAAGTGTGACGTGCATTGCTACGATGATCAGAATATTCTATGTTGAGGACGTGCGAGGAGAGAGGGAGCCTCGTGACCTCACCATTCCACAGGTACGAACGGGAGAGTGACAGGGACAGGCACTGGTCTAGGGACTGGGGCTGGGATGAATGTAAGATGGAATTTGGGGTTCAGACTTTCTAGACACCATCCATCATCGTGTCCCACAACAAGCGTCATGGGCCTACTCCTCACCAATCTCTCTCTTGTCTTTTCCCCTGACAGTAAATCCGCTCCACAAGAATGAATCCACTGCCATGCTTTCGTATTATCCGTAGAGTCAATGTAGTTGTAGTGTGTAGTATAGAGAGTAATACAAAGTATGGAATAGGTAGGAACGGATATGGACAACTGCAGGTATCCCTTCAAGGAAGAAAAAAGTTCGGACATTAAACCAAGTCAAGGGGTTACTTTTTCGCCCCAACCAATAAAACATCCTCAAAACCCAGTCTCGGCACCCCTTGTCCCTCAAGTATACTTATAGAGTAGGCCCAGCGGGTGACAGTCACCCCCCGGGCCCATTTCACTACACCCAATGCCCCCACGCCACCCTATGGAACAAGAACCGACAGTGGAGGCTTTCCAAAGTTTCGTGCCTGTCCTCCACTGTCACGGTCACGGCCTTCTCCCCGGTTCTCCTTGAGCCTGAATTTGAACATCCATACATCAGCCATCCATGACTTAACTAGGTTGTGCTCTGTAACTCCAAGGCTTATATAGATCCCCCTCTGTCCTGGGGCCCCCGTGGTTTTTTGTCAATCCCGCTTACTTGCTTGCTTCACTGAATTTTGGCTCTTTTCCCACCTTGTTCTACTTTTACTCGTAACGGTTAACGGATATTACATTCATCTTGCTCCTTATTCATACACTGGTTCTACGTCATTTGATCATTAGCTGCCTGCCTCTATCACTGCTGCCACTGGACTCAGTATTGGATCATAAGGGTATTCTGGAGCTATTTATTCGTCTATCCGTTCACTCATACGGACCAACCCAACACTCGATACCTGCCACTCATAACTCTTCTCAACTCAAGTCAAAAAGTCGATATATATTTCTTACAAAAAAGTGTTTGAAAATGCTCACTTACAATTCCACGTCAACAATGCCCATCAAGGCTCCTACAAAACCAGTATCCATTGCCTTGTCACCCACAACTTCGTCACCAATGACGGCAGCAACTCCATCTCTCAACTCGGCCACCATTAACGGCCACAAGACCCAAGGACAGCAACACATCTGGCTGGTTACGGGCCCTGCTGGCTGTGGAAAGACGACTGTCGCAGAGTATTTAGCCAAATCATTGGGTATGCCCTACGTCGAGGGCGATGCTGTATGTACAAATTTCTCACCAGTGTCGCATATCACTACTAACACACTCTCCTCCTACTAGTTCCACCCTCCCGCCAATATTGAAAAGATGGCAAATGGAATCCCTCTCACTGACGAGGATCGATGGGACTGGCTCACTGCCCTGCGAGAAGAGTCTATCAACCGCTTAAACGCTGGGTCATGTGGTGTCGTCCTCACCTGCTCAGCACTCAAGCGCAAGTACCGCGACGTCATCCGTGTTGCTGGATACTACGATCGCCGCATCCAAATCCACTTTGTCTTTCTCGACGCTCCCGAAGAGCTTCTTCTCGCTCGTGTCACTCAACGACAAAACCACTACATGGGCGCCAACATGGTACACAGCCAATTCGATATTCTGGAGCGCCCCTTGGCCGACGAAAAGGATGTTATCACCATCGACGTCAGCCGACCTATTGAGGAAGTCGAGCAAGAAGCCTTGAGCAATGTCTTGGAAACCATGGCCAAGTCTCAAGACAAGCTATGAAAGGAAACTGTGCCCATTATATCATCTTGATACACACGACCTCTACCAATACTCATCGACCTACCACACAACAACCACACACAGCACATCCGCCCACCATTAACATTATGTGAAAATTATCATTGAGCAGGGAGTCACAGCGTTATATGGCTATTTGCATTATGGATTTAGGAGTTTAATATTTGTTCATACCTCTATCTTTACACGGCGTTAAAAATCTTGTCATTTGCCTTGGTACTCATCTTCGGACAGCTCCCCGGCGCAGCGCGATAAAGACAAGGTCGGGCAGGGACAAGGATAAGCAACTCAAACCAGTTGTCTTGGGCAAGCTTGGTCTTGGGTCATGCCCCATCGTTTGCCCCTCCCCCCGCAAATGTCAGAGTTGCAGTCGCTGGGTCCGGAGAGCGCGGGGGTGAGGTGAGGCTACTGATACAGATAGGCTAAAAGGGATGACGGCAAGGTATTCCCTCCTCATCCTTGGAATTTTTGATATATATTTTTTTTGGTTACATACAGTACAGATAGGGAAAGGAACTTGGAGAGAAATAAGCGGTCAGAATTGAGGCTTATTTTTACTGAGTCACGACTTTCAGCTTTTGTTATAGAATACTCGCCATCTACTTCAAATGATGGTACAAATACAAATGTTTCAAGAGTTTTCTTGTTATTCACCTTCCGGTTTATGGTATTCTATACCGAAGAATCTGCCACTTCCACATGTACTAGAGATATATTTTCATCCTTACTGCCGGAATCGGACATTACTTACTAGGTTGGATATTATCCGATGTACTCAATGTCCAGCTCATGCATCATGACAACCTAACCAGCCTGACTACAGCTCAGCTCTTCCACCCATGAAAAATGACTCGACAAGCGTACAAATGATGCATCGCCCAAATAGTTCAGCAGACAGGCATTTCAATTGGAAGTTCCGAGTTGGTGTGTTGTCATCCTGCACGGTAATACCCTTCCGGCACTTGTGATATAGAGCTCATCACGAGGTTAGATATGCATGCATCGAAGTATATTGTAAAACCGCCCATCCAGTTTGGAAAAGAAAATCCCTGCACATGGTTGATTGTCAACCCTCCTGTACACTCACAATGGTGACGAGGCCTCCGTACGTGTGAGTATCGCTTGAAGAAACCAATCCTGCAACATGATGGCACAGCATATTCTCTTTCCGCGTACAGACTCCCATTCTTAATCATGACTTGTGAATTTTATATCTAAATTATGTACTTTGACATGTTTTCAACTATTTAAGATGCATTACCATAAGATCCGGCTCCTCCACTATCTGTCTCACAACTTCAGCAGCTCGCGCCATAGTAGCACCGTCGATAACTCGATGGTCAGCACTCCAGCTAAAGTTGGTAATCTGTTTCTTGACCACGTTGTCGTTCTCGTCAAACGCAGGCACTGTTCGCATACGTCCGATGCCCAGGATGGCCACTTCACGCTCCACAATGACGGGACTAACATATGTACCGCCGACATTTCCGATATTGGACACAGTGATGGTGCCGCCTTGGAAATCCGCCGGTTTGAGTTTGCCCTGACTGGCCAATGCCTGAAGTCTCGAAAGCTCTGCTGCGATGGTCAGGATGTTGAGGGATGCAACGTTCTTGATCACAGGCACTACGAGACCGCCTGCTGTATCCATGGCGATACCGATGTTGTGTTGCGATCGATGGACCAGGCAGGGATTGCTGGTCTTGGGATCAACGTCTACTCGGGCGTTGAGCATTGGGTATTTGTTCAGCGCCAGCGATACGGCTTTGATAATAAAAGGGAGGTATGATAGCTTGCTTGGTTGCCCCTCGACAGAAGGACCCTTGGCAAGAACACGGTTCAGACGTTGTCGAAGCTCCACGATACTTGAAAAGTCGACCTCGTCCGCGTAGAGGAAATGAGGAATGGTTAATGACCGTGTCATGGTCTTGAACATTTGGAGCTGTGTGTTGGATAGAGGTGTGACCGTTTCCGTCTGCACCGACGTATTTTGGGGTTGTGAAGGTGTAGGAGCTGGTGCTATTTGTTGGGCGCTGTCCTTGGTGTCTCTCTCCTTGACAAATTTGTAAATATCCTCTTTCATGACTCTTCCATCTCTTCCTGTTCCTGTAACATCGGAGATATCAATTTTGAGCTCCTTGGAAAGATGTCGCACAGCGGGAGTGGCGATGCTTGCACATTTGCCCTTTTCCTTCGCTGGCGCCTCGACCGGCGCTTCTTGGGGAGTTTGTTGCTGTGTTTGTTCGGCCTTTGACTCTGTAGGTGGTGATGGTGGAGGGGGAGGAACATCCGCCTTATCACCTGGTTGGTCAATTATCGCTTCGACGTCTTCGGCCTTGGCCTCGCCCTCAATATCAATGTCGACAAAGGGCTTGCCGACCTTGGCCATCTCGCCTGCTTCGTAGTGTAGCTTCTTGACCACGCCGGAGAAGCGGCTTGTGATTTCCACGGACGCTTTATCGCTTTGGACTTCGCAGAGCGGGGAGAATTCCTCGACACGAGCGCCGGGTTCGACAAACCATTGAATGACCTCGCATTCGACGATGCCTGTCCTCGTGTTAGTCGGGTTCTCGGATGATCTGACTTGGAAGACTTACCTTCACCAATATCGGCTAGAACAACAGGCTTTACAGCCATTAACCTTCTAGACTCACTGAACCATCTGGGAGAAGAGGCATTCAATGAAGCACGAGGGCCCATTGCCATATTGCCCATGGCTCGGGCAACGTGCCATTGCTTCTGTAACACACGGGATCCTCGCTGTAGAAACATGGTTCTGTAACTAGCAATTGAGCCTGAAGAGGTGAGAGTAACGATCAAAGAGAATAACAAATATCAGCACCAAGTCATCCTCATAAGAAAGAGGAGATGGTAAATACCATGGCATTGTTTAAGCCGAAAGCCTGGCTTCCATCGGCCCCGTCCGTGGATAACCGCCAATCCGGGGGAATGACGGCACTGGCAGATACTAAGCCCGATCTGACCGCGTTCTCGGTTCTGTCACGAACCCCGAAAATCCACATTGCCGATAAAGGCAATTGCCCTGTGCTCCACTGATCCCGTTGTGAACGTGGGGACCTGGCCCGGACTTTTTTTTTTGGAGTCAATAATTTTCCAACGTCTAGTCTGACCTTGAGAGAAGAGCTGCTTTAAAGTGTCTCTCACCCCCGCCAACCAACCATGATGGCGTCGCGACGACTCGACCTATCCCTCTCCGGCCTCGCCCGTCGACCTCTAACATGTTTATTTTGCGAATCTCGACGGTCCTTCACCACCTCCGCTCTTCGGCTAGCGAGGACTGAAAAACCAGGTGCTGGCGCATCCTTAGATCCTCAAGCAAATGTTGCCAAGCCGATCGAAGCTCCACGAAGCTATGGAAAGCGACAACAAGGTCACTTCGTACCTAAGCCTCTTCCTCGGCCGATTGGCATGCCTCTACCGCCCAAGGCTGGAGAAAACACAGGCATTGATAGTCGCTCACTGAAGCAGCGTCGTGAGGACTTTGTCAACTACGATAAGCACTTACAACGGCGAAAGGAGCTGTAAGAATAGACTATCGAATATATACATCGCATATACTAACAACGCACGTTGACAGAACGGCAAAGATATCACGCCCATATTTTCGAGACTGGGGTAACCTTCAATACCATGAGGGTAAATCCTTTATCGCACCTCCACGCTTGTTCAAGGCGGAGCTCTCTCTATTCTTTCCCAACTTCTACGGCGAAACCCTCTTAAAGACGGACAGGAACCCACGCGATACGACACCACTCTTCAGCGGCAAGGCCACAGTTATCAATTTCTTCAGTAGTCGCTGGGCTGAGCAGCAGGTTGCGACTTTTACTTCCAAGGAGGAAAACCCGGCGCTGCATCAAGTGTTGGCACAGAACACCGACACCACACAGCTTGTCAATATCAACTACGAGGATAATGCTGGAAAGGCCTGGTTGATTCGATTCTTTATGGGATCGCTACGAAAGCAATTCCCCGAAAAGGACTGGGACAAGTACTTCCTGGTACGACGTGGTGTCACTGACGACATTCGGGAGTCCATTGGCCTGCTCAACAGTAAGGTCGGATACGTCTTCCTTATCGACAAGTACTGCCGCGTTCGGTGGGCGGGCAGTGGAACAGCCCATCCAGTTGAGACAGAGGGCCTTGCCAAGGGTCTCTCACGTTTAGTGGACGAGATGGATCACGAAGCTACCTTGCCAGCCACAGCAAAGGAGCAACACCCAGGTAAACAGCATCTTGAGGTGCCAAAACTCTTGTAATTAGACGTTCTCCAGTAGAGGAGAGACGATTGTAACTTTAGACATGCTAGACATCATGACCCCACCATGGCCTACCTAGGTATTGTACAATATCAAACACGCTGATACCCCATAACACCTAAAACATTATGCAAACAAACCAATTCCCGCCCAGTTTCACGAAAAGAGGAAAAAGACGATGAAGCAAAACGCAACGAAGCTGCCCATGATAATGCCATCCCTCCTCTTCTTAGCCGATATCCTTCCGATCAGCGTGTTGATCCCGGGCACTTGGCTTGCTGCGTGTGTAATCCTCCTGTTGATGCTTGCCAATGTTTCGCGCTGCAGATTGAAGCTGTCATTAACAGCATACGCCTGGCTAAGCACGTTATCGGCCATGTTGTTACTATTGTCGATGCGATTCCGCTCCTGCAACATGTAATCGGCCTCGGCAGCTTCGGGGTTGTTCTGACGGTATTGGTCGATATCCGACTGGACGTTAGACAGAAGGTTCGCGCGATTACGAGCCTCTTGTAGATTTGAGCGTAGGTGGATTAGATTTTTCTTGTGATCAGCGAGCTTCCTCTGGAAAGTGTTGAGATTCTTCTGTTTTATGGCGGAGGAGGTGAGGGCGGCTTCAGAATCGAGCAGTCGGACGAGTTTGCTAATGACATCCTCACGCTGAAGGGAGTTAGCAAAGAGCATGTGAGCGCAGAGTATCAGTGTGCACCTTTTCTAATAACTCCTCCAACTTCGTCTCTGTCTCGCGTTCTTTTTCTGTGGGTTTGGGTGGGATATTAGGAGCTGCTGCGAACCGCGAATACGTATGGAACAAGTTCTCCGTCTAAGTAAAGGCGACGTCAGCTTGTATTTCGGCGCATGATGCCGTTCAGTGTACCTGTTTTTCTAGATTTCGAGCTTGTTGCATGAGACTAGTCCAGCTTCCAGATCCCGAAGATGCAGACATTGTGCTTGGTGTATATGATGTTCTGATAACTGCGTTGTGATGTGCTTGCGCAAGCTTGAGCTAATCTACAATCTACCAACTCATGATCAACTCCCTGATGGCCGACCAACAGGTCCGACACCTGGTCCGATCGATGGCAGAATTTCACACCGCCTACATTAGCGCCACAAGACGGTCACCTGTATTGACACGTGATCCTTGGAAACTAAAACGGAAGGAAAAACCTAGCAAACCCACCTGCCAATCAAAAATTTCAAATTCTTCTACACCTTCCCCACCTCGAGTTCTTGCAAGCCCTAATTTTCGAACGCACCTTCTCGGCAAACTTCTCTAAATCGATCTATCGCGACACGGACGGTGACAGGTCGAGGCTGATATTTTGACAAAACACTCGTCGACACACTTCGCACACCACTTCGAAGCTATTCAAGATGGTGAGTACGAGCATTCCACGCCCTTGTTGTTACGGTAGACGTCGACTGCGTATTGTCGATGTTTCGTGCGGCTACAGAGTCCTTTCGAGCATTCCTTCCATCGACCAAACGTACACATACACAATCCACAATCCACGAGCGTCATCCCACAACTCAATCCGAGTCTCGGCCATGATTTCGATAGCACAATTCACGCAAGAAAACAATACGGGTTGGACAAATCGCTGACAGGTTGTAGTCGTCGGGCAAGGTTAAGGCTGGAGAGCTCTGGAACAAGTCCAAGGATGATTTGACAAAGCAGCTCGGTGAGCTCAAGACCGAGCTCGGTCAGCTCCGCATTCAGAAGGTCGCTTCTTCCGGCTCCAAGCTGAACAGAATGTGAGCATATTCCCATCTCTGCGGTTTTGTTGCAGAAGCAGGAGACCGCCAAAAAAAAGTTGTGCCCCACTAACGCAATTTTGAATAGCCACGATATCCGCAAGTCGATTGCTCGTGTCCTGACCGTCATCAACGCCAAGCAAAGGGCTCAGCTCCGTTTGTTCTACAAGAACAAGAAGTACGCTCCCCTCGACCTCCGTGCCAAGCAGACCCGTGCCATCCGCCGCCGCCTATCACCCGATGAGAAGTCCCGCGTGCTCGAGAAGACCAAGAAGCGCACTGTCCACTTCCCTCAGCGCAAGTTCGCCATCAAGGTACGATGAATAAATGCTGTGCAAGGAATCCAAGTTTCTCTTCACAGCAATATCCACGCCTCAAGATCAACCTACTAACAATTCACCCAGGCTTAAGTTAAAAATGCTGGTAGTTCTTGGCGTGTGACGGACACTGGGTAGAAGGGAAACGGGGTATGGAGGGCGTCGCGTGCTTTTTCTTTGACAAAACTTCGAAATCTGCATCGCATGGCTCAGGGAATCTCGGTCTGACTTGTACTTATTTCCCGGTTTGGGCCTCGATCTGGGACGGGATATGTCCACAATGGGCTGCCCGTAGGCAGTCTTAAAAAACAAAAATGAGGTCATGATCAACAAGTCCTTGTAAGATACGCGAGAGCAGTGACTATGATGTCTCGAATCCATATCATAGGAGGTGGGCTGCCATTGAGTTGCACAGCGTTCTTCCAATTGAACAACAGCTAAAAAGCTTTGGTGCCTTACGAGCCAGCAAGGCTAAACTGGTAATTGTCATGACCATAAGAGACAGCCGATATTATGTGACCCCTAAGACCCTTAATTCAATGTTATTTTATCCACTCTTGAATTGAACGAGAAAATATACCAAAAGACCTTGTTACCATGCCAAAATCCTTCCTCACGGCTCGGTCTTTTTCGGTTGGTTTGTTAGGGGGTGCCTCAGATCGGTTCAATCGGAATCACCCCACCGTAACCCCAACGGCATCCTTCCATCAAAGGGCAAAAGCGATGTAATAAAACTTGGTCGAGCCATCTACGACGGTTTTCCTCAATTTCCATCTTTCCAAGCAGCGCTCTGAATCTTGGCTCATTTATCGGTTTCGCCTCTTACTCACAGACTTCCCTCTGAACTAGCTCAACGTGGATCTTCTCGCTATCAATCATATCGGCCTTTAAAAAAAGACCCCGCAACGGCGACAGAGTTCAATCCGATTTTGTACGGAATTGTATTCAGCTTTGGATGGCCTGATGGCTGGGCTGGCTCGTCGTTCATATATACTCTGAAGAGGGAGGATGACAACTCAATACCTGTCACAATAGGTCCAACCAGCTTCCATGCGGGTATTCTCGAGTCAGAGTTCGTTCGTTCTCTGGCGTTCAATACCAACGACAAGGCTCTCCGACTAGATGGAACAGAACGACTAATACCAGTACAAGCCCTGGATATGGTAAAGATGACTTGTTATGAATTGTCATACCACGACGGTCACACGGCATCGACTCTCAAGCTACATCAATCAGTCGAAACACGCCTTTGTGGTTAAGACTATGTTCGGGCCCAACAAAGACCACTCTGTGTCCATTATTCTTCCTGTGTCATGATGGCATCGGGTATCTATCTACCTTTATCTGGATCATACGCTCGTCTCATATGTTTCGTGCCGCTCATCCGGGGCAGCTTGTTCCAAGAACGCCGGTTTTCGTTGCAGAACCCTGACAACCAAACTCAAGATAACCCCAAACGCCAATGCCAATCTCGAAACGCCAACAAAAAAAACAGAATTTGTCGCCGTACGCGACTTGTATTTCTCGATTGCCCATCTTCAATCCACCACGGCAAGACGATGTCAGGAGCTTTTGCTGCTCTTGCGACTACCATCTGGAAGATGTGTTTGCAAATGCCGACGAAGTTGGTCCAAGCGATGGAAATCCTTCCCGCAATGCTCGCATACATGGCTACCACGGACATTATGCGTGCGGCGATGTTTGGAAAGATTGGAGGATTCACCAAAGCGCTTCCCACAAATTTCGCACATCAACGGCTTCTCTCCAGTGTGCGTGCGCATATGCATGGCTTGATAAAATGTTAGCATGTGATGCTGAACTAAAAACTAACAAACTTACTGAGGGCACTCTGCTGCTTGAAGCGCGCTCCGCAGCCCTCGTGTTCACACTTCCATGGTTTCTCGCCTGAATGAGTACGCATGTGCTGCTCGAGCGATTGTTTTGCGGAAAGCATTATGCCACAGATATCGCACTTTACTGGCTTGTCTGGGTGCCGTTGTCAGTATATGATTCACGACTGGTTCTAGATTTCGGTCTAGGGGGTTATAACTTACACCCGGTGTGAGTCTGCATATGTCGCTCCAGTTTGCTCTTTTGCGAGAATGGGCCGGGCCTTATACAACCGTACCACGTACAGCAGAAACCATATTCGCCCTTCTTCAAGTTCTTTACATGCTCGCTTTTGCAGTGATCCTGAAGTTCCTTGTTGCCCCCAAATGTTTTGGAGCAGAGAATACCATCTTCGCAGAGCCACTTGCAGGTGAAGTCAGTCTCTCCACTCATGGACTGGTTGTCGGCCAATTCGGTCTTTGGTGTGGGGGAGTGGGAAGACATAGAAAAAGCTGCATTTTGGTTCAAGGCCGGGCCGCTGTGGCTGCTGTTGAGGTTTCCATCATGATGGTTCAAATCATCAGTGAAACTATGGCCGAGATCGTGGGCAAACCCAAAGTTTTGCCCGATCGCCGAACCAATATCAAAAGAAACGTCCCGATTTGGCTCGTCTGGGCTGAGGATGGCGCTGACCATGGGCTCTGGCTCGGCTGAAGGTGTCGTGACAGACACAGAAGCTGGAGTAGTGGAAACTGTGGTCCCAACGCAATGCGAATCATTGCAAGGAATCGCAGCCTCCTGGCACGAAGCATCCAGGCATGGCTCGAGATCAGCGCATGTTGGTTCAAAGCAGCATGCGGCATGAGAGAAGTCGAGCTCGGCGCAGGAGGTATCGAAGCAGCAGTCTGCATCATCTCCGTCGCCACATTGGCTCCAGCACTTGTTATCACCACATGCAGAAGTGCAATCAGCGGATGTAGCTTCATTACAGCCATTATGCGCCGGCCATGACATCGGCATACAATTAGCAATGGTGGCCTGGCTCATCATGTTGGCCCAAGAAGGAGCAACAGCTTGTGGCCATCGGTTATAGGGACTTGACGGTGCGAACACACCGCCGTGATGTTGAAGATCGCCAAACGATGGGTGGTGACCATTCAAGAATGGCATGTGGAAGTTGTGGTGCAAATTCTCGTTAACAGTCTGGAGGGCCGTTGTGGGTTCGATATGTTGTAAGTTTTGGCCATGGAGGAAATGGGGTGAGTGCAGGTGAATATTGGATGGCTGGTGATAATCCACCTGGTGTTGGTGTTGGTGTTGGTGTTGATTCTGGTGGTGCTGGTGATGTTGTAATTGCTCAGACTGTCTCCGCCGCTTTTGCCTATGCGCCGAAGCTCTAGTTGCGGCAGCAGACATCTTTACAGGAGAGGCAGAGATGTTTGACTGCGAGCGAGTCTTTGTCCTAGAAGGGCGAGCGATATTTGGCTGTTCATTTCTGTGGGAAGCTTTATCGGTGCCGGCTTTTAGATCGAGGCCAATCTCGAGAACGTTTTTAGCGGCGGAAGTTTTGCCATAGTGGTCAAAACAGCGTTGATCGAGACAAGCGTTCTCGGTATTGTTGCAGGTTCCAAGGGAATCGAGCCCATGGGTCAGGCATGTATCGTGGCCAAGCATAGAATCAAAGCCATAGTCAACTTTTTCAAGGTCGAAAGAAGTTGGCTGGTGGTAATGGGCAGCAAAGGCTGTCGAGTGCGAGTGATCCATGGTTTCATGGACAGCTAGAATTGACAAGAGCAATCGCTTGTTCCGATGAAGAGGATCACTTTTGTTGTTTCTTGACGCACAGAGAAAAGCTTGTGAATGAAATCTATAGCCAAGATGTTCATCAGAGTCATTTGGATGGATAAATGGATGGTCACAGCAAAATACCCGAGCGGGCTGTTATGTTGCCAATGACCCGCGCCTCAGAGGATCGATGAGAATGAGAACCCGGATGGCCAGGCGGCTCAAGAACCGGGCATGGGCATCCAAGGTGGAGGGGCACTAAACTTCAGTGGATCATGGCACATTTTAGCGGGGCTGGTCCCCTAGAGATTACCACGCGCCGCCAATCAGAAGCTATCGAATGGGCGCGCGAATATCTCTGGGCATATGTTTTATGGTTGCTGGTTCATAACCTACCGAGTCACAGGATAGGATCGGCTGGGTTTTCTATTGATTTTGCAGTAATTTTACGCACTAACAAGAACAAATATCCAGATTTTCAAAGGGTAAGAGAAGACCAATGGTTCTTTCACAAAAACCAAGTAACCTGGAGGGAGTGGTGTTTGTGTGAGCAAACGTAGGATGTTTGCTTCGATCAGTATTTATCCTTGGTGTTTTTTATTCATCTTGACCGATACAGAAGAGTATGAGCTTCTCAAGTGAATCACCTGGTCTTCAATATGAGGGGTATATCCAAGTCCCACCTCTCTGGCTACATGTCCGTCTACATGAGTTCAGTGACCGTAATGGCCCTCTCTGTTCCTGCATCACATACATATCTCCAGTCAACCCACTTTCACCGCTCCAATATTGTCTACAATGTCTCTCGGCCTGGTCTTCCGGCCGGAGCCCAGATAATAAGGTCCGTAACGTCGCTCTTTGATTTGCAGCAGATCAACAACCCCGGATGGCCTCTATTTGGTCAAAGCTCCGTTCCTGCATATTATTCTCAAACGTTTTGCCAGTAGTTCCTCTCTCATAACTTCCATGTGTCGTTCAGTTCACCTCCTGCTTTTTTCTAAATTTTCATTTCTTGTAGATGTTTGGCATCCGTATAGAGCTCATGTTGTCAACTCTGGACGTATACTGGCGGACATGGGTAGCTTCCCGTGTACCGTAACAAATTTGAGAGTATAGAAATCAGAGAACAGATGTACCTAAACTGTGTAGAGTAAGCTCGACTGTAGTGACAGAATGCACATACGTTGGGAAAGTTGACAACTGAATCTATTAGAATTTAGTTACCCTGCATTGTCACATGTCCATTAGTTTTCCTTGTCAAGCCATCGCTCACAGCACTCCAAGCTATTGTAGCAGAACTGGCTGGCAATACTGTTGTAGACAGATATTACAGTTCGAAGTCTCTGAATACCATATAGCTCTCTCTCATAGACAAATTTAACCATTACGACTGATACCCTGTAGAAACAGTACGCTTGTAAAGACATGTTGAAAAACCAATTAGATCATCAGTTGTATACCCTCCACTTTTATCTCAACCACCACAAGAGAATGGGGTAAGTAGGCATGGGTAGCTAGCTAGCTGTACTTCAATGGATGGCTATTGGGGAAACCGTTTGTAAGTTGTAATTTATAGGATGAATTTTTATGAGATGTTAAGGATTTTGTATACGTAAATATGTTTTAGTAAACACTCGACCATAGTCTGTTCATTCATCAATGATCTTAAACCACACGAATCACTATTCGAATGACGTTGCTCACATGAGCCTCTGAGGCGCAGCGCTCTCTCATATGAGGTAGGACACGAATTTGACTGTAAATAACCTCAACAATGCAAGCTGACATATCGTATTTGATAAAGATTACATTGTGCTTGGATTCGACAAGATCACCTTTCAGGCTTTCAATACCACCAAATAGGTAAGCACCTTAAAAGCAACCCTCGAGGTCCTCCTTCCGCCCCAGCAAGCTCCAAAAGTCCAGCCCCTCAACCTGACCTTGGAGCTTGGCACGACGGAACTCCAACTTCCAACTATCGCCGCCACGCAACACTATCTTTGACTTATTCTTAACACGACTACTTCAGAGAATATCGCCGCCAAGTAAACAATATCATCACTCAAACACCAATACCGCTTTGTCTACACAGTATATCAGACAACACTGAACAAAGAAGCTCACATCCACTGCGCCGCGTCACAAAGTAGTCATGGGTAACATCTGTGGTAAGACAGAGCCCGAGGCTTTCTCGCAGCCCGGCCGTGTCTTGGGTACCGCGCCGCCTCCGACTTCCGGTACAGCGCCGGTCCCGAAACAGGTCGGTGGCCCTCCAAGAACCTTGGGAGGTGGATCAGCCGTTGCCGCTCAAGGTCCAGACGACCCAGAGGATGCGCGAAGGAAAGCCGCCGAAGCCGCCGAGGTCAGTACCCCAGAGAAAAACGACAATACCTTCCCGTAAACTGACATGAAAACACAGGCTCGCGCCAAGGCTGCATCGAAGCCGGGTGGAAAGTTGCAGACACAGCTAGCAGCGCAAAAGAAACAGACTCGCTCAGAGACACTGAAAGGCGCTAGTCAAGAGCAGCTTCGAGCGCGTGAAGCAGATCAAGCAACAGAAGCCCGAAATTGGGCATGAGAAAGGTTTCGATCTCGGATTGACGGGCCAGGACATGTTTCTGGACGGAAAGCAAGACAAGTTCATGTAACTTGGTGCAGTGGCATGTCCATTTTGATTTCATGCATGGTTTGGGCCAAGATACTGTTGGTATATACCACTCACAGGATGGTTCGTGGTCAGCGTCGTTTTTATTGTCGTTGAGTTGTTATTCAAAGTCACAGCGTTTTATCTTTCGTTTTAAACACTACCAGTTATAGAGAAGAGTTCACACAACAGATGCATTTCAGCTCGCACGCATACTTGCAACAATCGTGGCAAGACTGAGTAATAATCAAATCCCCTATAGAGGGTCTCTCTAACGCCGTCATTAACTCCTGTAATTGTGTACATTCCCCCCCCCCCCCCATCAGATTACCACTTCCTCATCAACTCCGTGGCTCAACAGCCTAGCCCTGCCTGTACAAGAGTGGTAGAATAATATACGTTTGCTTGGGGGGAAAAAACAGGTGCCAAGCACTATTAAGTGATCGTGTACCGTCCACTGGCAGGTGCTCGACTATCGGCATCTACGGCAGCAATTGTTCCCTCCCGCAACAAGCGTGTGAGTTCGGTAAGGGCAGAACTGACGACAACTTCGGTATCACCTTCAATAAGAATATACAACTTGGGCTCGGCTCCAGCGGGCGCCTCCTTGCCAGCCGGGTAAAAGTTGCCCTTTGTTGTGATCGATGTACCTGTAGCTTCCAGAATTTTCGCCACGTTGGTTCTGTTGGTGACAGCCCACCTGGCCTTTTGGGGGAAATCGTTGATCTCCAATGTGGCGTGGAAAGCACCAGCATCTGGGCCCTTGTTGTCGATGGGCTGGCCAGCACGAAGCTGGCCGGCCTTCCCAAGTCGGCTGTTGATGGCGCTGACAGCAGAACTGACCTTGTCCAATGGGTCCTTAGCCTTATCCTTTACCACACCACTGGTCTTGACTGGGGGCATAGACTTCGCATCTGCGTCTTCGGTCTTTGCTGATTCACGAGCCAGCACACCAGATGCTGCAGCCCGGATTGCGTCCAGCGCCTTCTCTGCCTTTTCGTCCTCTTCCTCCTTCTTGTCCTCGGTTACCTCCTCTTCCTCACCCTCGGCCTTGTGGACCTTGCGCTCACGCAGACGAGCCGCCTCTCGTTCCTGATCGAGACGGTCGAGACCCTTGCCGCCGAAACCTGACGTGTCTTTAGCCTTTCCAGACTTCACCTTTTCTCTATGAGCTTTCCTCATCTCGTTGAGCCTATCAGGTACGGGTTGTCCACTCTGTTCAAGAGCCTTGGCAATACCTGGTGCACAATTCTCCTGTTCAGGCGTAACAAAAGTGACAGCAACACCAGTGTTACCAGCACGACCAGTTCGACCTGCGCGATGCACGTAATCTTCCAAATGGTTAGGAGCGTCGTAGTTGATAACAAGCTTGAGCTGCTTGACATCAAGACCACGGGCTGCTACCGAAGTGGCAATCAAGATAGGTACAACACCCTTCTTGAAATCCGAAATAGTGGAATCACGGTCGATCTGGTCCTTGCCTCCATGGATTGACATACAGGGATAGCCCTTCATCATCAGCTCTTTGAGCAAGTCATCCGCCTTCTCTTGTCGCTCGACAAAGATCAAGGTACGAGCATCTTCATCGCGGTCATAGAGTTCTCCTAGAAGTTCAAGAACACGGTGAAACTTGGACGGCTCGTCTCGGACTTCGACAATTTGTTCAATCTCCTTTGCCACGACACTGCGCCCACCGACTGTGACCTCAATGGGGTTCTTAAGCACCTTCTTGGTCAGCGAATCGATGATACGAGGCATAGTGGCTGAGAAGAGGATTGTCTGCCTGTCAGGTCGCATGTTTGCAAAGATCTTCATGACCTGGGGTTCGAAACCCATGTCAAACATTCGATCGGCTTCATCAAGCACAACATACGTAACTCTCTTTAAGTTGGTGACCCGACCTTGGTTCGCGGCTAAGAGATCAATCATACGACCAGGCGTGCATACAACAATCTCTGCACCACGCTTGAGCTCTGCAATCTGTTCTCGAATAGGCGCTCCACCATAAGCACAGACAGCGCGAAGACCCATCATCTTGAGGAATGGTTTGCAGTCTCGGTGGATCTGAACGGCAAGTTCTCGAGTAGGGGTCATGATCAACCCAATAGGGCCATCTGTATCCTTAAGAGGGGCCTGATCTTTGATATGTCGGAACATGGGAAGCAGGAAAGCAACTGTCTTTCCCGAACCAGTTTTGGCAACACCAATAACATCACGACCAGACATTAGAGCTGGGAGTGCCTGCATCTGAATGGGAGTGGGCTTTTCGTAACCCAAGTTATCAACGACATCCAGTGTTTGGCGTGTGAGACCGCATTGAGCCCACTTCTGAACAGGCTTGGGAACATCTTTTCCATTGACCTTTATACCATCCAGTTCCAGGCGAAGGTCAGCCACCTCAGCCTCCGTAAGAAGACTCAACTCGGCTGGCTCATGCCAAAAGTTCTTGCGGATAGGCTCAATCTCGATCTTGCTGTAATCAATTGTCGGGATATCCTTCTTCTTCCGCTTTGCTGATATGGCCAACAGAGCGCTTGCATCGCCTTCATCCTTCTTGTTGAAGTCATATTCATCATCACTGAAGTAGGCCTCAGGCTCCTGGACTTTTTGTGTTGTTGATGTTTTGGTGGGTTGTCTCACATCGGTATGCTTTAGATCGGCCATGAAAGCATCCAAAGGATCAATATCGTCTTCTTCGTCAAGTTCCATCTGAGTGGCAGGTTCGGATTGGGCAGCGCCGTCGTTCGTTGTCACATCACCGTTTGTCTGCACGTCCGTGGGTTTGGTATCTTCCTCGCCTGTATCCATCTGGTTCTCGGCCTGCAAACGCCGCTCATGAGCTGCACGGGCAGCAGCAGCGGCCTCTTCCTCGTTCTCGGCAAAGTTATCACCATCGGACTCGTCGTCATCCTGGTCAGCGTATGGAGTGTCATCAGCCTCAATAGGAAGGGCGGGAAGTTTAGTAAGCTTCCGCTTGGTAGTGTCTTCCTCGTCAAGGTCGAGCTTTCGCTTAGCGGTAAGCTTCTCGGTCTCTGCATTGGTTTTTATGAAGCCGAAGCCACTTGCTTTTGTTCTGTTCGCAGGAAGAGCGGATGCTAGAACAGATGTGTCAATTGGGTTGAAGCGAATGATGGAAGACTTGGACGTACCAGTGGTGGCTTGTTTGACCGGGGCCGAAATCTTTTCAGGCTGTCCCTCCAGGGAGCCAAGTGCAGGTTTGGAAGCGTCGTGAGCCCGGGAAGCTGCCGACTTCTTGGCGATGGCCTTGGGATCAAACTTGCCAGAGTAGGGGGCAGCGGGTGATTCGACAGCGGGCGTCGCAGTAGGTGAAGCAGCAGTAGAAAGCGAAGGGGAAACCGTTTTGGACGACGCTCCACTTGCCTTCTTGTCCATTTCAGCAAGGAGGTTCCTTGTCTGACTGGGGTTTACCTCTTTTTGTTTCTGACTTGCACTCTCCTTCTTCTTTTTCCATGCTTCAAGCTTGGCCAGTCGTTCGGCCTTCTTGTCGACATCAGCTTGTCCGCCCTCAGCTTTGGGAGTTTGTACCTGTAATCCATCAGCAATGCACTCGAAACCAAGGAGCGTGTGTCGAACCTGACTAGCACCTCCGTTGCTGCTGTCACCGAGTGGCGTCTTCTGATTTCTACCATCATCACGGTTGCTGCGAGCAGGAGAGTCAGTCGTACCCTCACGACGCCCAGAGACACGGCTGCGGGAATCATCTCGCCTTCTCACATCCCGGTCATTCTCTCGGCTGCGGTTTCGTCGTCTGTCAGTCATGGGCGACCGAATGCGATCATCAAAGCGGTCTCGCGATCTTCGGCGATCTCGTTCTCGATTGTCTCTTCGTCCACCTCGGTAATGGTTGTCATCTCGTCGATCTAGGGAACGGTCTCTTCGGCGGTAGTTATCTCTATCTCGTGCGCGGTCACGGTCACGGTCGCGATTTCGGGGCTGTTGATGGAGAAACTCGTCAGAATAAAGCCGATTAGTATGATTGTGCCACCTTCTTACATCTGGGCTGCGAGATCTGGTACGCCGACGATGGTCCCTTCCATCGTTGCGACGATCCCTATCCCGGCGATCATCGTTGCGGAAACGACGGGAACTGTGGGTGCTGCCTGCAGGACTTGGTGAGCGCGAGTCTCTCGGTCGAGCCATTGTTGGTGGTCTCGTAGGCTCAGCAGGACACTTCGTTGGTGAGTAGTACTTTTGAACGGAGACCGAAGCCTTTGCAATAATGCGCGATAGCGCGTGGTCGCTTCTCGCTGGCGCAAATATATGTGATGTCGGTATGCCTCTCTTGACGGTGTATTTGAGATACCGAGAGCTGTTGTCCACCTCGAAATGATAAACAAATAGCTACACAAAGGAGGGGCGGGTGATTTGTACGATGCTTGAAGCTTTATTAGTTGGAAAGCATGGAGATGAGATGATAGTTTCAAGGCTTCCGAGTTTTACCCACCAGGCAGTTGATAATTGAGGTATCCACTATTTAGGAACTAGGAGCCGCGCTAAGCCGAAACGGATTCCATGTCGTATCTGCCTCGGTTTCGATTTATTAACGACTTTAGTCGTGTTGCGTCAATCTCAACTCTATCATCATCGCATTTCATCTTATAAAAACCTAAAATGGCCGGCTTGGTAGGATACGCAAGCAGCGACGAAGAAGAGGATATCCAGGAAGTCACTCCTCCTCAACCGAAAAAAAATGTATATTTGTAATCTTCCATTCTCCGTGAATACCTACTTATTCTCGTCAGGAACTCACGACCATTACCCAAGATGCAGGCGTTGAATCACGGACTCAAGAGGTAGAGAAGAAGCCTACTGTATCAGGTAAGCATGTTTTTCACATTGATCGATTCATATGATACGTCCTCTTAGACAATGAATCTTATCTCACCATCAACAAGTAGCGCCTAAATCCAATGGCCCTGATGCAGTTGCTATCGAACCTGCCCAACAAAATGCAGTGCCACTGGGACCGTCTTTACCGCCCATGGAGGAGGCCGTCATGGATGACCAAGATCCAGCATATAGACCAGCCTCACCATACTCAGCAAATCGTGCGCTTCTTCGCGACCTCACATTGCCGTCAGCACCTAACATGGATATCCCACCATCACCACCAGGCTCACCACCACCTGGAGCCAACAAGAAATTCGAGCAATTCCTTGAGCTAAAAAAGAAGGGGACTCATTTTAACGCCAAGCTGGAACAGTCTTCCGCGCTGAAGAACCCAAGCCTGATGGATAAACTGATGAGATTTGTCGAAATCGATGAACGTCATCAGTATTCTACCACACTACCAACCGACCTCTGGAATCCTACAGCCTTCCCGGAATGGGCTTCCAAGGACAAACTACGGAAGACTAATGATAAAGTAACCAAGGAGAAGGACACGGAGAGAGCAAGTGGTACAAGAACAGCCGTTGATTTTGTCCCTTCAACAAGTATAGGGGCCCACGACACAACGATCAAGGGCGGACTCTCGAAAGGTGAAAAGAGGAAAAGTGGATGGAATTAGAGACGAGTTTACCAACACACATCGACTTCTTGCGCTCACAAAGTTCGAATGAAGAGCTACTATCGCACTTGACGGAATAAAGTAATCTGAATTTCGCATCAGGGTACAGGGTATAAATGGTGGCCCGCATCAAAGGTATCATTATAATCGACTGCGCCTCTTGTCAAACCACTACCTAGCTTTATATTAATCGACCGGACGGCTTTGATCATTCTCTCCTGCCTCAGCATACTCGGTACGCGATCCAAAGATCAATAATGCTTTGCAACTAATCCTTTTTGCACTTCACATCATACCCAATGCTCTTTTTCAGGATGGCACCAATGTCGATATCGACAGTCTGGTTTGAGCTTCCCAACGCTGCGGCGAAATATGTGAGATTTTCGCCGTGGTTCATGACCGACTTGCCCAACAGCTTGAAGGGAAGAATGCCTGTCTTGCAGTAGGGCTCCTCCTGAACGGCGTTCAGAACCAAGCTTTGGTTCATGTTGGCGGTGATGTTGACAACATTGTCGCCTGGCTTAAGGAGTAAGTTTGGAATTGTGAGAGTACCAACTTCTACGTCTCCGACGAAATTTGTAAAGGTAACATTTCCCTGAAATCTATGTGAGCTTCAGACCTGGAAATATGTGCGGGTGACTTACATTGTCAAGGGTGAAAACAGAAGCGTTTGGAATAACGGTGGTACCGTTAAAGTTGGGCTCATCCGTACCATCACCGAAGCCAATGTGGCCTTCGGTGACCTCGGTGCCAGCAAAGTGGTTAAGTCCCTTGAGCTCAACTGTCTTCTTAAAGGTGACACCATACTTGCGCGTCAGACCACTTGGCTTGACCTTTGTCTTGCCATTGACAGTGACACGCAGCGTTTCATTGTTGTGGAACCAGATGTTGAATCGAGTAAACTCCTCCATGTCGGCGATTTTAACATGTTGGGTAACGTTGACGACCTGGTGTTTGTTGCTGTTGGTCTCGGGCATGTCCACTGTCGCAAATGGCACATGTGCTGGCCAGTCTTCGAGATACATTTCGGCCTCAAATGGATCAACTGATGCATGAATCTTGCCATCGGTGGTAATGGAAGAATCGATCTTCATGACATACGCACCCTCCTCGGTTTCGAGGATTTGAACGCTTTCGATCTCGAGCTCAGCCTCATTGATTTTGCTCTGAGCAATCTTGGGGACAGCAACAAAAATTCTAAAGCGCAATGTCAGCTCGATGACAGTTACCTGAGACAACACACGCTTGGACTTACATCACAGGAACCACAATAACGGTAATGATGCAGAGGATGATGAGATACACCCACCAGAAGCGCTTGCAGTGTCTCGCGCAGGTACGCTTCTTGGTCTTAGGAACCCCATTCTCGGTTTGGGTCACGTCGTTCTTCTCCGACATGTTTAATTACTAATATCGTTCAAGGCTCAGCCCTTGAACAGACAAGAAGAAAGAAAAAGGAAGAGGAATATGGAATAAGTTTCTGACAGGAAGTCAGGAACAAGGTAGTGGAAGTGACGGAAGTAGATCAACCTTCAACATGCGACAAAACAAAAAGGAATGAAACGAGAGCACGCCCCAATATAAGTACTGGTCGCACCGGACATTAAGATCGGTCGACCAGGCATTTACAAACCTTAGGGCCAAACAAGAAGGCACTTAATGGCACCCGTAATGAATCTGCATCTGTGCCATACTGTTGTCTAGGGGTGCCAGGGTGGGTCAGATAAAACCCCAACACAATTGACACTGGAGACACTAGACTGACATATTTATTTAGCATCTAGTTATTGGCTGACAAGCTCCTCTTGCTCGTTCCTTTCTGTCGATAAGGTTTGATGTGTCGGTTTTATCTGACCAACTGTACGGCTGTACCGCAATAATGCAGCCATCCCTACCATCCAATCCTGGTAGGACTAGATCGCCATGATCCGAGTCCCTTTGCATCTTTCGACGGGCATTGACTGCCATAATAGGCAAGTGGCCGATGAATGGATACGGCGCTATTCCCCAGATTTGCCCCGCATGGCTTCAGGTAAGGGTTGCAAGAGGCAAGTGTTACCTCCCACGCCTCCATACAACGAGTATTTGATTCCTATAATTCCTACTCAGTTTGTTCCTCGGCAGCTTGTGAATCACTGGGGTGGAAAGGTACAACTGTGATCTGTTCGACGTCGCAGGATTGTCGATACGCAACGGACGATGCCCGGCACGCCCATCTACAACGGTCTAGCTGAGGCACTATCTCTCAAACAAGATCGTTCAAACAAGATCTCTTGATAAACCTTGCTCCTATTCTGATTCAACAAAGCTTATCCATGGAATTGTTTTTGAATATTTACACGTGAAGCGAGAGCCGGAGCATAATTGTTAATGAGGCTGGCTTTGCATGATACCATTTGCACAGAGACTGAATATGGAAATGTTAAATTTACAAACAGGATCCACGGGACCTGTTCATTCCCGCAACGTCCATTCAAATTGTCTGGTGGCGATTGGCGCTTTGTGAATCACCGAGACTTCCGTTAAAAGCCCGAGTTTCTGGATCATCAACAATCTCTGTCGACCACTATAAACCATAACTAACACAAAACAGCAGTACTAACTGAGACAGCGGGCCGAAAAGGAGGAAAGGCACAGACAACTTGCACGCGACAAAACAGAAGACAGAGAGAAAAATCTGCTATTTAAAGCCGTCCAACCACAGCACATGGGCTCTGCCAAGCCAGTAGTAACAGGCGGCGATCAACCCGGCTGGGCAGTGGACACAGGCTACCTAGTCAGGTAAAAGATGGAATTTTCGACCAACAAGAAGTCATCATTAAGGGCTGCAATCATACCAATATTGATGTCTGCGATGTCTAGTCGTGTCAAGCAGTAGCGCACCTCTTTCTACGGTAATTGCTACCAACGATTTAGAGTTACGCAAGTGGCTTGCTTTGACAGCCAACCATTCTTGTTTCATTAACAAAGAAGGACATGACACGCCACGTTGGAAAGTGCCATTTAGGTCCGGGAGTGGCTCGCAGCTCGTTAGCCTACTACATACAAACGTACAGTACGTGGTAGGGGATCAACATTTCGAAAACTCAAATACAAGAGGGGATTTACATTCAGCTAATAATTTATGTTCATGTGGCCTCTGGGAGGCCCGGTTGCGACACACCATCTCGGCCTGGACATCCACTGATGGTATGGTCGACTTTCAGGTTCTTGAAGTCTGGCCTGGATATGACCGGGAGGATCGTTTGATTCGGCTAGGACAGCCACTACCCCTGTCCCTGTCCCTGTCCCTGCATAGTCCACCCACCTACACAGTACACTGACTGGTCGGCTGACGGGGGCACAATTATCGTTCTTGATCAGCGACGAGATGAACTGTCACTTGTTCTTCACTGAACGAAATCTGTACATACAGTATTCTCGGGAACTGCATGTGAAGGAGGGCAACTCAGAGGCACACAATTAAATAAGGTTTGGTTCTATTCTCGATGATACGTGCTCGGTCAATATCCAGAAATCCTATACAGACTACGCCGCAACGATGCCTTCGATACCCTCAGGGCACGAGTGATCTGAATTACGTCTCAAAAACTGCAGAAAACCATCTGTGCGGTGCCATATCGTACCGCAGGTTTCTTATTTGCTACTCAATTTCGAAATATTATGAACAATTTCTGTTTCTCCTGTTTGACCTGCAGTATCAAGCAGTGGCAACGACGTTACACTTCGTATAATGGCACCCTACGACCAACAAATGCTGGTGACATTCAATTAGGAAAAGGAACAAGGGCCCCAGTTGACAGGGCGGGGAAGCGTGCCGAGGATGCGTTTGGCATATGAAGATGTTGCAGCTGATATTCTTCACAGCTTAGACTTCGTCCACAAGCCTTGACGATCCAGCCCAGAATCTCCATCGTAGATATCGCGTTCCACCTGTCGAGCATTCACCTATCGAGTCAGTTAGACGAGGCAGTGGAGTCTGGGGAAAAGCTGGGGAAAACTTACGAATCTAGGGCCAAGTTCCGATATGTTCTTGGCACCGAGCAGACGCATACATGTTGCTGTTTCCGCCTCGAGAACTGTGTTTTGCACGTGTCAGTCCAGCCAAGACTCCGAGTCTAGGGATATCGGGGCCATGATTTCCACTTACTCTCAAGTGTTCGCTCGACACCAGCCTGGCCACCAGCACCAAGCCCGAAAAGCGCAGCACGTCCAATACCAACGCCGCTGGCGCCCAGGCACAACGCCTTTACAACGTCTGTTCCTCGCTTTATGCCTCCGTCAATCCATATTTGAACCTTGCTCAGAACTTCGGGGCAGTACTTGCGGATCTCGAGCAATGTATGCATGGCTGGAGGAGCTGTGTCGGCAGCGCGGCCACCATGGTTGGACAGGATGATGGCCTTTACCTGGGGAGCATACTTGGCCGCTAGGTAAGCATCTTCATGGGTTTGAAGACCCTTCAGTACGATGGGCAGATCGGTATGAGCCGCCAGCCATGGAAGGGTCGTCTTCCACGTCAAGTCAGCAGCAGTACCAAAGAATAGCTGCTGACCAACACCTCCAGCGCCGGGCTTGCTCTCGCCACTGGCAGGACTTGGCTCAGAGTAGTCGAAATTTTGCTTCTCATCTAATTCACGCTTTCCTGGAACAGGCGCGTCCAGCGTCAAGCAAATAAACTTGTAATAGTCTCGCATGGAGTTGATACGTTTAAGCATAGCCTCACTCTTGTCTCGTTGATTCTGAACATAGAGTTGCCACCCAAAGGTTTGGCCTGGCTTCGCGCCCTCGATGATTTGCTCAGGAGTCATGGAGGCATTGTTAGATACGATTTGCATGGCGCCAAACCTAGCGCATGCTTTGGCGATGCCTTGCTCGCCTTCAGGATGAGCCAGTCGAGCCATTGCGGCTGGAGATACGAAGATTGGCAGTCCGACTTTATTACCGATTAATGTTGTTGAGGTGTCGCAAGCTGTACAGTCGACAAAGACGCGTGGCCGAATGAGAATATTCTTGAAAACCTGGTTGTTGTAGCTCTTTGAGAACAGATCATCTGCAGCAGAGAAATAGTACGCCCATGCCTTTTTAGAAATGCGCTTCGTTGCTTCTTGCTCGATCTCGTCAAGATTCATGAGCGATGCCAATGGTGGAGGTTGGTCTTCTTTAGATTGTGTGGCATCCTTTTCGCCAGTCGATTGAGATTGTGAGAGTGTTTCGGGGTTGACTTCACCGAGAACGTGTTCGGGCTTGAGGTTCTCCTCGAGGGTGCCAGGTGGGTGAACGGGATCATATTCGTCGGTGGCATCCTTTCCAGCAAGCTTCAAGATGATCTTCTTACCGCCTGGGTGAGATGGTAGAAACTCGGTTACGTCGTAGACCTTTCCGTAGAGTATGACCCAACAGCTCTCTGGAGTGTTGTGCTTGGCCACTATCGCGAGAATCGCATGTCAGTCAATTGCGCCTTCTGGAAACATGGATGTGGTGAGAACCCAATTAAGGTCGCTCATACCTTCAGCCGCGTCAAAGACCTTGGCCATTCTGGGCTATATGATTGATTTGTATGAGAGATGGATAGTATACGGGAGTATATCGAAATAATGGATGGCGAGGAAAAGGTTTGTGAAAAAGAAAAGATGGAAGAAATGAAAATGTTGGTTGGATATCGAAGCCAACTTCGGCAGATCTACAGAATCAGTAGACACCAATTATCTTATCCCACTCCAATATGGATTGGGGGTTCCTTTGGGGGGTGGTCTATACGCTTGTTTGTTATGATAGGTAGGAAGAGCGAAAACGGACAGGGCTCATGCGAAAGGAACCACGAATAAACAGGAGAAGATCAATTGAGTTCTATCATGAGAAGTCGGGTGAAGTTTACAATACAAGTTCTTTCTTCAATGGTCGTTCATCATGGATGAGAAAGTGAATTATCTTGTTCATTATTGGATCGGACTGGATACCGATCATGACCGCCGACCTTTGCCGAAAACGGGGGTTCCTCCATCATGACTGACTGCGCCACATAGAGCGCCACATGATAGCTACAACCATTGAGGTCATTTCACGCTAAGAAATTTGATAGTTACGACATTGAGAAGGCACTTTCCGAGCGACATCCGTAAAGAACGACAATCTCTACTATTTCGCTGCCCTTCAGTACAGCAATTTCGTCGTCTTCACTTCTTACCTCAACACAGCTCTCTCATAGTATTGCATTGGCCTTCATCCTCTTTCTGCCAAATATGCGCTCGTCCGTCTCGTCCTCTGTCGTGCGCGATCTTTCTCGGACTTGTATCCGGTGTCAACTCCGAGCTCGCCGAGCCTCAACTCTTGCATCCTCACATCAAGTTTCTGCACCAGCAACGCCTGTACAGCGCAATGGAGCTTTTTTGACGGCCATCAGAGGCCCTGCGACGACATTCGCTTATTCCCGCGCCGCTTCCAGTGCTGCGCAGCCTGAGTCGCAGAGGTCTTCTTCATCGAATGCCCCACCATCAACGCACTATGAACTCTTCCCTGAGACGCTTCCAGATGGTCCTCCCCCAGCAGGCCACTTTCCTATAGATACACGAGCTTTGCGCCGTGAATTCCTCCGTCTTCAGGCCCGCGCTCATCCGGATATGCATGGTTCGCAGAACAAGGCTCGTGCTGAAGCGATGTCGGCACTGATAAACGAGGCTTACAAGACACTTTCCAACCCTCTTCTACGAGCTCAGTACTTGCTCTCCCTGCGAGGTGTTGATGTCGCCAACGATGAGACTCTCAAGGTCGAAGAGCCGGAGCTGCTCATGCTTGTGCTGGAGGCGCGGGAGGAAATTGAGGATGCTGAGAAGGAGGAGGATCTATATGAACCTCGTGCGGCGAATGATGCGCGCATCGCCGAGAGTGAGCAGGTGTTGGAACACGCATTTAGACATGACGATATAGAGGCCGCAAAGCACGAGGCTGTGCGCCTGCGTTACTGGGTGAATATCAAGGAGAGCCTGGACAACTGGGAGAGCGGCAAGCCTGTAGTGCTGCAGCATTAGATAGGGACAATAAATATGAGCATATATCCCTTGTAAAACGATACCAAAAGGCCGGATATGATTTGACATACTGGATACGTCTTGTTGGCATACCACGCATGTATAATTGATGCACTGGCGGAATCATAGACTCCGTTAACCTGAATCTAGTCTTCAGTTTCAAATTGCAGAAGTTATTCAACTCACAAATAGCATACGTGATCGGCAACCAAAACCCTCAGCTGTGAGTATTCAACAACATTAATATTTTATCGTGATATTACTCTCGTCAGGTATCCAAAAACGCCAGGACGCCAACCTGTGCGTCCGCAAATTATATAATATTCCCATCATGATCCATATACTGAGTGCGCCTATGCAATATATTCCAAGACAAAAGCGCAATGCCAACTCATCTTTGGTACGCTGGTAACTGTTCTCCCCCACCATGTCTCGAACCACTGGAAGGTCCTGCGCTGGAGCCGTATCCAGGGTAATCATCATCATCAACTAAAGGTGCACTCGGTGCGCTCGGTGCACTGGCTTCAGCTTCGGTGTCCATTTCCGTCGAAGGACCGTCAATTCTTCTTCGTTGCATATCCTCAGGGACATCTGGGGGAGCACTGGCTTCGTTCAGTAGCCGTCGTCTTTCGAGTTCTTGCTTATCCTCCACAACTTCAGACGGCGGTACTGCTGCCAACTCAACATCATCCTCTGTTGGTGCCGAGGGGCCTGCCTCGGGGGCACTAGGCACACTCAGATTAAATCCGGCATCCAGATCCGGAACCCGAGGCGTATCCTCTGCGTCGTATATATCTTCATCATCTTGATTTGGACTGGTTGATGGGCCTGCCACTGGAGGTTGGCTTGGTAGTAGCCGTGTCTCAGCCTGCCGAATCATTTCCTTTTCTGATAGGTTGTTCTGATTCAGTATTTCAGGGGGAGGAATATACGAAGGAGCTGCTGAGGAAGAGCCAAAACCATTGGTACTTGACCCCGAGAAGCCACGTGAATGTGACGAAACTGGTAAGGGAGGTACTTGTGAATAAGGCTGTGGCGGATGTGAGGGAATTGGGGGAAGTCGACTGCCATTAGTGTGCGGAGAGTAATAACCCGCAGGAGACATCGACCCATTGCCTGAATAGTGTTCAAGAGCAGGCCCTTCGCCGTAGTTTGGTTCTTGTCCTATCACCTCCTCTTCGTCACTTTCCAGGATCTGCACGCTTCGTGATGTCGGTGACGCCCTCGACTTTTTCCTACCGCGTGACGAATCTGAGGTGCCCACGACTGTCTCCATTGACACCGCGATTACCCCCTTTTCGTGGCGCATCTGCGAAGTGTCTGCGATGTTTGCTCCTCTCATTGGACCGTACGTGTTATTGTCCGTGCTTCCATGGCCATAGGCTCCGAATCTAGCTGGACCCGTTTGCATCTGAGTCGACAATCTTCCACCCAGGTCAACAACCACCTCAACCAGGTACTTGAAGCTGATCATTTCTCCAGGAACACCCTTGATTGTCGGGAACGAATCGTCGGGCAGCTTGACAGTGACAGTGACCGATGTTTGCATGGTGTTGGGATCAATAATGAGTGGTGCTATGTTCTGATCGAGGTCCTTACGGAATATGCTTGTCGAACTCGAAGATGTCAACGACAATCCACCGAGACCTGTTCTGGATCGTGGGAACACATCGTCCTTATCTATACGAGCTATGTCTTCCTGGCTCATAGATTCGTCGAAGAAAGCTTTTGGCGGATTGCTGTCGATTTTACCTTGCCTGAGTAACGTCACAATCACCCCCGTCATGCTCTTGACTCGCTTGGTGTGCTGAACCGTAACTCGCACAGATATGGGGTCGCCTGGTAAGCAACCACCTTTCAGTAGCTCAACCGTCGCCGTGATTGTCTTCTTGTCTACCGCTTGTTGCTTGGCTGATGTGAGTGTCCCTACTTGGGATAGTGGGACTTCTGGTCTACTTAGGCTTGTGCTGTTGCTGACACCGCTTTCCCCGCTGACTTCGCTTCGCAAATCACTTTGAATTGGACTCCTGGGGTCTGTAGTGTGTTCACGGTAGTCTTCTGTCGGCGTTTCTGTCAATTCGTGCCCCGTGTTGACTTCGTTGATCTCGGAGTGGGCGGCAGACGACTTGTCTATTACCATGGACTTTCTCCTTCGGTTTCGTTTCGAAATTGGTTCGAGGAAGATAGTGCGCGGTCTAGGAGTGTGTAGTAACCCAACATCCACGTTTTCTACTAGCATCACTTTCCTTTCGCATGATGACGTTGGGGCAATCGAGGTTGGTCGCGTTAGCGTCGCTGTAACCATGTATGAAACCGTTCCTCGCTCGAACTGTATGTTGCATTAGCAAATGCAGCGCACAGTATTTCCTTGTTCAACCTACATCAATACTGCTTGGCAGTCCCTTGTCGGGAAATAAAAGGTCGAATCCGAACTCATATCTGCCTGGCTCCAATCGCCCCTCACCACTCAGCACTTGCTCGTCCTGGAAAAGACTTGCTAGGCCATTGCCGTGATATCGTGGCCTTGCCGCATCACCGTTTTGCGGTAACACAACGGTTCCTTGCGCCTTGGCGACCGAGGTTGGATCTTTAAGGACGCGCACATACCCATGCAACGATACAGTTAGATGAGTAATTCGAACCGGTTTCACGATGACGATAACGACAGCTCCGCGAACATTGTCGCCAGCGCTGTATCGACGGTGGGGTTCTTCGGCACGAATATGAAAGTCGGTGACGTTGCGATTTCGGTTGCGCAAAGGTAGAGAGAGCGGGAGACTGAAGCGCGAAAGGAACCCTGGGCGCGTAGAGGAGGTTGCAGATGCCGTAGGTGACGTCGCCGTTGGAGGTTGGGAGGTGGAGGAGCCGGCAGACTCGGCCGGAGAGGATGTCGCGATGTTATCGAGAGTGTTGGGAGCCGTCGAGTTCGTAGGACCAGGAGCTTCTGTAACGTTAGAGAGCGTGGGAGAAGATCTCGACCGGCGACCCATTCCCAGACGTGTTACCAAAGGCATCAGGACCAGGGTCCAAGGTCGATAGCGACGTCGAGCTTATGAAACCGACGTCGCGAGCCTTGGAGCAAGAGCTCACGGCCAGGTGGCTCTGATAGCTAATCGTGCCGAGAGGCCGTTGAATTGTATGCATGCGGGTGCGGGTGCGGGAAGGTTAAGGTTGAGGTGGAAGTAGAGACGTTAAATCCGGCGCGTCGGCGGTCGGGTTGGGGTTGTGATTGGGATTGGGTCTGCGTGTTCTAAGGCTGCAGGAGGGGTACGGGTAAGAGGGAGATCGACACTCAAGAGATGGATCAAGGATTGAAAAAAAAAAATACAAATGAGCACGAGTATGGATATGAATACTTAGTAAATGCACTATAGTCTGGGCGAGTTGAGATGAAAAAGTTGGACTGGGCGATCAAGCGAGTGACGAATGTCGGGCTGCAGAGGCGGAGGCGGGAGTAGCAGCAGGACGGACGATACCTAGATTAACTATTACTAGCACTAGCAACTGTAAGCCACGATTGAAGGTTTACAATCGCGGGACGGGAGGGGGGAGGAAGGAATTCACCAATTGGATCAGTACCTTTCTAGCGCCTGCAGAAGGGGGGGCAACACCCCCATAGCGGCCTTCCATCGAACGAACGGTTTTGGGCAAATACAATTAATGGATGGACTCCTCTCGAAGCAATTGGAGGGGAAACACCTCAGGGAATAGCAAGAGTCATTGGCATGCATAGGTCATTTCTCCACCCAAATCTCACACCAAAATCAGACATTATTCCAATTTTCACTGTTAATCGTCACCTACGCAATTCTGTCAGGGAGGGCTCCCATCTCGAATCTACCCTACCTGTAAAGTCAGCATGCATGTGCCAAGACATTGCAGGCCATCGCTCCGCCAAGAAAAGCTTGGTCAGGGCCTCGACGAGCTTGGCTCGCATGTCCAGCCGAAGACCTGGGTCCATAGATTAACTTAGAAGACAAGACAAGACAGACATGGCTAATAAGAGCCTAGCGGAAACGGCCAGCTGAGTGCTTTTCCCGCCCCCGCCCCCATCAAGCTTCGTTTTGTGTTACAGCTGGAATTTGCTGACGGGCCTACGACATATGTAGTACTGCATGAGCAGCACTTTTACAAACCTGCATCACCAAAGCGCCAAATTAAATGCAAAAGACAACAGTCGCATCACAATACTCCCCGTCATGTTGCAAATTTGGTGTGCGGCGCGGTTGGTTCCGGGAAAAACCGCCAATGCAGGCCATGACGCGATGGACCGACACGTCCCTTCCTCAGTGGAACATCACCATGGGGTTGGCCAGGGCAAAGAATACTCTGTAGGATAGGGTATAAGGCATTGATGCTTGTAAAAACATTAGGTCCCTATGCCGGTGCGTGAGAGAAAGATAAGGATGCTAACATGTTGGCATCGTCTCCACGGTCTTGAGATAACAACAATTGGTCTAGGAATTAGGTAACATGAAATTGGAAACATTTCAGATTCACCAATATTGGCCATAGTCGCAATTGATTACACTTTTCTTCTTCTTCTATTCTATATATTGCCAACATAGTGGCAGTGGCAGTGTCTAATGTCCGTACTTGCATTACCCATGAGGCGCAAGCTATGCTACCTTTCAATCAACCTCTACAATTACATACATGGTATCGTTGTCCATCCCAGGACTTCTGGATTGCCATCCAGACCTATGTGACCAACCAGCGCAGTGCCATGCAAATGCGATGCAATATGACAATAATCATAAACGATACCAACAAAAATGAGACAAACCAAAACGCCGTACAGTGTTGCTGGATGCTTTCTTTCTTTCTTTCTTTCTTTCTTTTGAATGCTTTTGCACTCTAATCCAACGCCTCTCCACTCAAAATTTTCTTCAGGATACCTGAACCAACGCCGTCAGTCGCAGACTCAATCTCCTTTTCTGCAACACAACTTGTGAGTCTTCGCTCGTCTCCAGTTACGGCCATGGTCTTTCGACCTCTCTTGCTGGGTGTCTGTGGTGCAGTAAAACTCCCAGTCTTTCCATCTGATGCAGTGACCAATCCTAGAGTCTCGAGGCTGCCCGCAACCTCGCGAAATTCAGAGCTCGACAGTGGATGCAGAATAGAGTCATGGATACAAAGCTGGCAGTAGGTATCGAACAAAGTCTTGATAGTTGGCGCCATCAATTTCGACTTTGAAGGTGTAGCGCCGCCATTGGCCATCTTGGCTGCGAGTCGAATTCGCTTCTCGTAGGCCACCAGGGCACAAAGCGCAGCCTTCTGTTGAAGGTTGAGTGTCTTGAGTCGTTGTGTAGTTCCGTTGCTGAACGCTGCTGCTGTGATCTTGTTGAGGTGGCTGATCGATGCGCGAGGTGCCGTTTCTGCTGTAAGAGCCTTGAGTGAATTTGCCATTATCTGAACCACACTTCTTGTGCCGCCTGATGCTCCATTGATGTTCTCTCCAAGGGGTCGCTTGGAGGGTGTCATTTGCAAAAGCGCCTCCCTCGCCTCCTCCTCGTGCTTCTGTCGAGTCTCGACTTCTATCAAATCCAGAGCGCGTCGACAAATTTCAAAAGCCTTACGAAGATCTCCAGTCTGCTTTGAGACCTTGCGAGAGCACAGGTCAATGGCGGCAGGGTGAATGAATGGCACATATCCCTCCTTACCACCCGCAGGCATCAGCGACTGGAGTCGTGTGGTGATGATGTTCTTGACTTGTGTTGCAGAGTAGGGGAGGAATGACAGGAGATCAGGCTTAAGGTTCTTTGCCTTTAGTCGAGGAAGGAATCGATCAGTCAGGTCCAGGGCGTTGGCAATACCGACGAGAATGAGACGGGAGTTCTTTTGAAGGGACCATTCAAATACCCGATACAGACTTTCCAAGCCCATGGTAAGAATGTGGTCGATCTCGTCCAGTGTAACGAGGTGGACAGTGCTTGACTTCGTCTTTGGCATAAACAATGCTTGTAGAGTTGTGATGGCATCAGCCTCTGAGGCGTCAAAGCCCTGGCCAAGAGCACCAAGCAGTGTAGTGTAGAGATCCTTGGAAGATTTAACGCTCATACAGTTGACATAGGCAGATCGGACATCCTTGTGGTTGGCGTATTGTCGAGTCATCTCGGTAATCATGGCACTCTTGCCCGTTCCTGGGGGTCCGCTGACATAGAGGCAGCCATGGGGGGTGGGTGAAGAGAAGCGGTTGAGGAATTCAGTCAGCTGGTTTCGTTCCTCCCCTCGACCGACAAGTTGGCCTGGCTCGGCACCACGAGCAAACAGTTGTCGTGCTTGTTGGTAAATGGTTTGGACCGCACTGGGGGAAAGTGGCGTGTGTGGTGTCAGCCTTTTGAATAGTTTGCCTGCCGACATGACAGCATGTCTGGGCGTGGTAGGAGGCACTGAGAGGGCATCTCGGTGTCGTGGCGTTGAAGGCGTAACTGGGTTCTGCTTTGTAATTGCTTGTGGTGGTGACTTTCGGGTTCGGGGAGGTAGCTCGGCCAACACATCGTCCTCTTCATCGTCAATAGGAGAATATGTAGGATCTTCGTTTTCGTCGTTATATGAGACAGCCTTTGCAAGACGTCGACTTCGTTTGGGAGTATTTACTTGGCAGGGAACATCTTGAACCATCAGGTTAGCAACTGCGTTGGGTATGTTTCTTCCATCAAGCACTCACCAGTTTCGTCGATACCCCGGGCTCTCTTTCCTAGAGCTGCTGTGCGAGCCATGACTGTAGATAGTGCCTTCCAAATTTGACTTATGCAGTAGTGTACAGATGCAACTCGATAACTCTTTCCAACAAAAAGTGGTATAGGGTGAGGAAGTATTAAAGGAAGTTGCAAAAACAATTGTTGTCGATGGCAACTGCAGGTTATGTGCTGTGGGAATTAAAGAATGGAGGAGCCCCATCGCTCTTACCATTTCCTAGGAAATGGGCGTTCGGGCGTGTTGAGGTCGCGTTCCTACGCGAAGCGCGGGCCACGATCAATTAAACAGGTGGCCCGTGCGTCTGGGTCGCGATTAGAGGAGCGACAGCCTCACGCGTAAATATGATAAACCCCTGCCTGTCACGACTGTTCGCGGCATGGTTAACTAGCGCGATAAATGGATAGCAATTAAAACTCCTGAGACGGCCGTTGCTCAGAGACGCACCAGGACATTGACTCGATTGAGTAGACAGCTCGTTACCGAGAAGCTTTGACTTTTTTGCCTTTGTTCGTGACTTTCTCATCAACATGCATCGCTTGGTGCGATCGTGATATAATACCTCGATCAAATAGGCCATATTGACCTTCTGAAGATATCAGCCCACTATATGCCATTAATGGACAGATTTTACAACCCGTAGCCTCGGCAATGAAAGAGTTCGCTATAAAATGTATTACGTCATTGCCTTCCATTAGAGATATTACCACATGTCCTGACTTTTACTCTCCATTTTTATTCTGCTAAACACTGAATATTTTGCTCTGTTCTTCTTGCCAAAGTGTTCATCATGACAACGTACATTCCAGCCCTCACCTTGCCGGACTCGGTCTTCCTCAAGCCGGCTCTTTCGGTTTTGCTACCCATCGGCCTCGGCACAGCTGTTGGCTTCAGCGCTACTCGTGAGCTAACCTTCTCTCCAGGACTTCATCAGCAGGTTCATTAATTCATTTCCCCCTACAGAAACCCAAAAAACATATCTTGCGTTGAAGAAACCCTCAGTGCAACCCCCACCATGGCTATTCGGACCTGTTTGGACCGTTCTTTACGGGTATGACCTTTCAAAAGCTGTCATGCTAGGTACATACTGACTATAACTAGTGTCATGGGATATGCCGCCTACCGAGTTGCTAATATTGGTCTCTCTCCTTTCTCTTCTCCCGAGACTATCGTCAACACTCGACAAGCAATGACCCTTTACTCCATTCAGCTTGGTCTCAATCTCTTCTGGACACCTCTCTTCTTCGGCCTATACCGCCCCATCGAGGCCTCAGTCGACATTGTGACACTTCTCGGAGTCAACGGTTACCTTACT